GGCAACTATTTTTGTTGACCTTTGTCCATGGAAGGTCCCTGCAAAATTTCATTGAAATTGGTTCAGGGGTTTTGGAGAAGAAGTCGAAAATGTAAATTGTTTACGGACGCACGACGGACGACGACAGACAAAAGGCGATCGCGATCGCATATTGCACCATTTTTAGGTCACCTGAGACAAAGTCTCAAGTGACCTAAAAATGGTGCAATATGTACCCGTTAATATAGGTTTTTACATACCAGTATGGGCATTCTTTTAAATTTGTTTTTTAATAGTTGTCTTTTGTATACATGAATAGATATTTTTTTTGCATTGAAAGTTTTTTTTTTAAATCAATGGTTGCCACAGTGTACCCCTTAATTTCATACTTGACAGCTCTCCCTTTTATGAGGGGAGGGGGGGGGGGGGGGGGGCTCCCAATTTAGGACCCTAAGTTTCCTATTTTCTAAGATTTGATGATTTCACCTGAACAAGAGTAGCTCCAAAGATGTCATTTTAAAATATTAGATTTTCCTATCGTGTCCATAAACACATTTTATTTATTGCTTTTAATTCTGAACATGTGTAAAGTTAAAGAAGTTGTAATGTAAAATAGTTCAAAGTCAAAGAGAAGTGTTCTTTCCATTAAGGACGATTTACAATGGATACTATTCGGTGCCATTTGTACTAATTTATTTAAATTCATTATTTACACTGACGGGGGAATCTAAACATGCACCTATAAATGATTTTTAACATCACTGGGGACTTCCGTGTTGTCAGTGTTCAGAGCTAAAGAATCAATTATTTACACCGCTATTGATGTCCTGCTTTTGGGCAACTTCATTTAAACGACCCAAATATTAAAACTTGTTACCAAATGCACCATGTCCAAAGTAGAGCATCAACCAGAAGCTGCTGATAAATGGCAGATGCAGGAAAATCAAGAATGACATATCTGAGTTTTCTGCCCGACTCGACGATCACAATAACCTGTGAATAGATAACAAGTGATGGACTGAAATTCCGAAGATATGAAAACATCACAAAAACATTTCATTTAACACAGGGTCGGGAGTTCGTTTACAAATGTATGAAATACACATACATTCCAATATGCTATGGACACGGAATTAGATTAAGTCCGTGCTATGGGTCACAGCAAACATAAAAACATACGCGTTTATGTATGCTGTGACCCATATCCATGTGCATTTCAGACATTTGTAACGAACTCCTGTGTTTGTAACAAACTCCAGTAGATCACCTTAGTAAGCTAAAAACGCTGATCACACATTTCATTCTGATATCAAAATCATATATACCACGTCTACCTTTATGATTTTGAGTTGTTGCTTCCAAGTTTAAACATTATATATGCGTACAAAGATATAACATCAAACAAAAAGTTATCCCGATTCAACCAGTCCGCTAGGCCCGTGTACGACAACCATATTTTCCCGCCATTCGAGTAAACTAATCTTAGAGGAGGAACGGTTACAGTCCAGAACTGGATAAGATTTTCCAGAGGGACTCTTTATTTACTTTACTTGACACAGCATGTTAGTTATTTTTATATTCACGTGAAGTGTTTTGAATGTTCTAATTAGTTTCCCGTGGATTTTTATCACCAGAACGGTATAATATTACTCTTCAATATGATTCCGGGAATTATTCTCCGTTAAACGACTCTACTATTATTAACTCAAAAACAAATCTGTATCGATTGCATGCTTAACCACGTGTGTGTAACGGCTGGTTAGTGTCAACACCGAGGCTGGTGGGGAGGGATATCGTCATTACTGATCACTGATAATCAAGAATGGTAAATGTTCTGTAGCAATATCATATGTAAATTATTGGTAAAACTGACATTGGAACTTTAACGTGACACGGTATACCGAACGTAAAAGTATAATATGAAATAGGCGAGACCTAACAGCGGCCACTACATCTAACAGTCTAACTGTTTCCTACATAATTTAACAGTTATATTTTATTTTCAGTAGAGTGAACATCCAGTCCTCGCATAATTCAATGGATGTACCATTATATTATTCGTCGGGGGTGGGGGGTTGGGTTAACAAGGATCCCTCATCCGCGATCCCTCCCTTATCGTCTGTCAGACTGGGATTTTATTTCGAAATGTATGGGTCAGGGGCAATTTCGGCCCATTAAAGTCGTTCTGAACAATATGTCATATGTTAAAATTAACTTGGATTTGAAAGAGTTATAATATAGGCAGACTAGTCGAGTGGTTAACACTCCGGCCTTCCACGCGGCCAGGGTTTGATCCCCGAAGTCGTTGTATGCATTTATATTCAGAGAAACTTTTTCTCCTGCCCACATGTACATAACTCCAACAATCCAGGTGGAGTATAAAATGATCTGGGGTGGATGTTGCGGTATCTGTGCTGTAGCATTTAAGTGAGGTGGCACTATATAATATGCTACCTTTGGAAGCACGGTCCCGCTACAAACAGAACACAAGTACTACATCTCCAGCACACACGCAGGCATACATATAATTGTATATCTATATGTACTATAAAGCGCTTTAGAGTGGCTTATGTTAGCTGGATAGGGCGCTACATGTATATCAAATGTTGTATATATAGATATATATATATATATTCAATGTTTTTCTTAAAATAATAACAAAAGGGCAAATTAACTTATGTATTTGGAGAATCATTAAACTTTTTCATGTCGGATGATTGGATGACCGAATGTGCCCAGCCCTTGTGTTAGATTGGTCCACGTTGGAATCAGCATAATTATTAGGTCACAATGCATGCAACGTCATATTTCAAGGCTTTCCATGTATCCTATGGGCCGTACCTGCCCCGGTGTCAATGGATGAACCTGACCCAAATTGATATATTAAAAAATTTGTGTATCAAAGCAATACGAAAGTCAACACTAAGCGTTTATGTATACTGCTTAGACCCTCAAAATTATAAATATTTGCTCAAGACCTAAAATATCTGGATTGGCCGGAGTTGTCCCAGGGCCGAACTTGCCCTGGCTCCTTGTCCCTAGCCCCTAGCCCCATATTGAACCCTCCCGCACTGGATCAGCCCTGGTTCGTTGTTTTTCAAAACACCTTAGAAACACTTACAAATTAACTATTGGCGATATTAAATCACTTATCTAGATGTCATCAGCATAGGGATAATTAACCAAAATCAATCCATATTGGAATATTTTGTACCTTTTATCTTTTTATGCCCCTGCCATAAAATGGAGGGGCATAAAGTGTTGCCCATGTCTGTCCCATCCCTCCCATCCATGAGCCATCAATACATGTTGCCTTTTTTTGTACTCCACAAAAACCATAGTGGTTTAAATGTGGATGGGGTTAAGTGGTACATGTGATACTTAGCTTCAGCTACTCCCAGTTGGTAGGGATTAATGCTTAAAATGCCTCTATTCCTTGCACGCTGACTGTGTTAACGTTGTTGTCCAGTTGGTTTCAGTCTGTGGCTATTTGCACAAAGAATGAGTTTCTGTATTGTTCCGTATTATGACTGCTCTGTTATTGTTCCTGATCTCATGGTAAGAAATGAATGACGTCTCGGCTCTAGGCATTGGTGGAATTTGCTCCTTCACAGTTTGTAAAAGAATTTTAACCTTTGTAATTTTTGTCTTGATGCTAGTGATGGGAGTTGTAGACCTTTGAGGAGTTTTGTCATAAATCCTTCTTCCCTTACGTTGATCTCTGGATGAATCTATTTTATATTTTAATATAAGTACTTAAGCTGCGTAAGTGTGTGTATGTCTGTATATGGACATATATCTGTCATGCTGTGTATGTAATGTACCTTTATCATTTTGACGTGTGGTCATGAGAGATATGAAAGAAAGTATTGGCCGAGAGAGACACTTGGACCCTGCATGAACCCATATGCGCGTGGGAGCCTCAGCTGATCTGAGTGCCCAACATGTATATCAGAACCTGGTGCATATTAACCCTGTAGGGATATACAGCAAACTAGCTGAGAAGGTAAGTGGCCTGGTAAGGAAGGTTGGCGAACAGAATACAGACGTGATAAAGCAGGGCAGTGGATTGCAAACTAGGAACTTTGTTGTGTGCCCCAAGGTAGTATCACTATCGTGCATGTGCACCTAGGCCTGGCAGACTTGTAAGTATATATGTTATCTGTGGGCTGCAGATGTTGCAATTTTGCCTAAATCATCTCTACTATTCAGGCTGATCTCAAGATTTTTTTTCAAAAGAAAATTTAAAGTAATAAGGTGAAGTGTGCAGAAATATTCAGTAACAATGTATATCACTCATAATTAGATGATTAAATTTTTCAGAAAAAATCAAAAGGTCAAAAACGGGGAAAGAAGGCAAGTGTGACAAAACTGAATAATAAGCTTACAACAAGACTGGCAAGGCAAGGAAAACTCAAGAAGAAGAAACCCAAAAAACGTGAACATCATGATGAGGAGAACAGTGCATCAGAGAGGATGGTACAAGAAAGTCGTCAACAAGACTCTCATCAGTCTGAATTGTCGGAGGAAGATGTTGACTATTTCAGTACGCCTGGGATGAACCAAAGTTTTGTTAAATCTAGGTACAATGGCTTTAAGAGTAAATTGAGTAATTCATAAAAGAGGAATTCACATCTAATGGTGAAAGTTACGTTGACATGCAGGCAATTATACCTATATTATTATAATACAGTAGAGTTATCAATGCATACAATACTAGTGAAATATTTCATGAAATAACTGAGCCAACCGGGTAACACATACTTATGTGCCTGATGCAACTGGTATATAAAGATATCAAAGGTTGGCACAATGGTTGTAAAATGACCTTTACCTATAGTCAAAGTTACAGGTGTCAAATATGGTAAAAACTTCTTCTGAAGAACTGAAAGGCCAAGAGTCATAATGTCAGGTTGATAGCTTCTTTTATTTATAAATTCATAGGGTTTAAAAAAACAAGGGTGACTGAATAACTTAAATTAACTGCTGGAATGAAAGGCTGTCCAGGTTTTGAAATGAATGAACCCCACAGATTTTCAATGTCACAAGAGTCAAAAGTGTTTAAAAGTTAGTCCCTTTAGTCCATTCAAATGTATTTAGCCTTTTTCTACTTTTAATGGGTTGGTTTGGTTGTTACAAGTGTGAGATTAATCAAACTAGTGAATAATGCAGGTTCATTGAGCCTCTTGGTTAAACAAAACTAAAAGCAGGTAACGGCATATTTCCTCTCTCAAATAACATAGTCCATTTGCAACAATAAGTCAATAAGACAGATATTTTTAAAAAAAATCCAGAAAATTAAGCTTCATCTGTAAATGACAGTGTACATAGTTAAACTTGGGATTTTTTTGGGTCATATTTAGATTTAAGTGTAGTGTGTTCATGCAATGTTTCTGTATTTTTGATTTACATAACAAATAAAAAATAGTAGAAAAAATCAACATCTACTATAAACATATATGTGGGGCTACTCAAAATGTACCTGCATGCTAGCAATCATGAATTGAATTGATATTGCTGACATCAATTTTTCTTATTAATCCATATTATATGTTTCATATGAATAATGTTTATTTTTATTTTGTAGTTTACATGCAGATCCATCATCTAGAAAAAGGAAATATTCTGATACAAATGACACTGAATCTGCCTATGAGAAGCTTCCTCGTAGAATTCTTCACAAAGACAACAACCAAAACATCAAATCCTTGTTACCTATTAAAACAAAGAGGGGAATGATCATACCACAGATGGTGGAAGATGTCTCAATTCAAGGTTTGCACATGTACATTTCCAGGTTTTAATATCCAAACAAATGGAAGAGCTGACTCCTCAGGGGTGGGACCAGAAAGGGTAATATGGCAATAGTGTTTTTAGCGGCTTCGGCTCTAGAACTATGATAGAGATCACCCATAGTTGATTGAAAGAATTCTTAGATGATAATGGCCCCCCCCCCCCCCCCCCCGGTATACAAAATAATAAATGAATGGGATGACACGATGATATAAAATCGCCTCAGAGTCTTGCCATGCATTTTGGGCCTTGTTGGGACACTTAAACATGAAAAAACTAACCAATTGTGTATCAAGATTAGCTTCACATCCATCCCATCCCATAGGGACTTAGTCCATGGATCATAACATATAAACAGTTGAAATCTCCACCCTGTAGAAATATATATGCTACCAGGATTGACTCGGGGCCATGGGGGACTTATTTTGCAAAACTAATTACTTTCAATGAAACTATTTTGCTTTGGTTGCTTAAATATCCAGGTGAGGGATACATACCCTCTGGGCCTTTTGTTAAATCAACTTTCACAGTGTTCGAAAATCTTTCAAGGTATGCAGCGTGACATGATAAAGAGTGGTTTGACAAACATTTTTGGTTTCAATTTTGGTTCAAAGATGAAGACGAGAAAGAGTCAGCAGAGGAAGAAACGTGTAATGAACCTGGTGGCGTTGTCAAACCAGAGAAGTTACCAGAACTGAATAGTGCACAACTTATGTCGCTGAGAAAGCAAAAACTAACAGATCGCAGACGGAGAATAGCTATCCTGGCAAGTGCTCTGATCGAGAATCCCGAGGCTAATGTAAGTTGTATTTCTCATTTAAATTTTAATAGTATATAAACGTACAGAATGATATAGAATCTAGGGTCTGAAGAGTCATATAGTCGTATGTATGAAATAAAAGTTTTTTGATAGAATTCTAAACAGCCAAAATTGGTTACATATATGTTAGCTAATGGAGGACCAAGAAAAGGGATCAGCACATTTTGGTAGTACAGGATGTTAGTACTTAACAAGATCTAGTGCTGAGCTCAAAAAAATATATAGGTTTTGAGATATTAAAGATTTCAGTTTCAATTTTTCGACACATGCGTTAGGTAACGCTGGTGTCTAGGGGACCGCACATACTACGAAGCTTAGCGTGGAATTGCATTTTCGAAAGTAGTGACACCTGTGACCTTATATGGAACGCCCATTCATTAATTATCATGCATATGCAAATTTTTACAATTCTTACAATGACACCTACCGGTAGATGAGAACTTTTTCATTCATGATTCAGTGAAGCCATTTTGTGGTTAGCCAACGAATAGGCAGAGAAAGCATTTGCTTCGATACTTTCTTAACTAGTCAGATGTAAGTGAGAAATACAACAATGCATGTATTTTGTATGTACAAAATTAATAAAAAATATTCTGATTAATTTTCTAATGAAGCTCTTCTTGCTGAAATTGTGCTTCCTGCACTCTTCCCCGAAGCGGATGGTTTCCTCTGACCTCCTTACTGTAGTGTTCCTACCTAACTACACAGTACACAGTTGATGGTTTCCTCTGACCTACTTACTGTAGTGTTCCTGCCTAACTACACAGTACACAGGTCAAGTCACACTGTTTGGGTCACTAACGTTTTGCTTTATATAACAAAATTACCACTGCAAATAAGCCTGTAATTTTACTTCTGACCACTTGAATATGACTATTCTTTTCGTCAGAATTGAAATAAACTCTCTTCAAGACATTCTATCCATTTCAGTAGAGTCTATTGTAAGCTCAGATTAGATCGACAGGACAAATACATTAACACAAGAAAATAAGTGTAAAGCTAACCATGCTTTGATAACTTTAGCAACCCGTCAAACAGCAAGGGCTGGATGAGGCCAAAGATCACTGCCGCGGATTATGACCAGCAAAAGATGGAGTGCGATGTTTTTCTCTATCAAACATGTACATCACAAGATATTTTATCAGTACTATATATTGAAACATGATGTGGTGTGTTTAAGACAGGTTTGTTTCAAACTTGTTACACATTTATTCAATTAATAACGCAGTGTTTCAGTACAATCTTTTATCTTGTGAAGATAACTTTGCTATATTATAGGTGTTTATTATTAATTTTTGACAGAATTTCAGATTCAGACCCCTGTGGTGCAATGCAGCAGATTGCACTCGCCAAATACATTTCAAATTTCGCATATGGTCAGGTAATAATATGTTTAAAACAGAGGAAATATTTGTGGGGAAAGTTAATTGAATTGTCGGCAGCCTGACATCCCTGAGCATTCATCGCTTCCATGTCCGATTTGCACTCCTATTACGGTATTAGGCCGACTGCATCGTCAATTATCTTGACGTGTGAACCAAAGTGAAGTAAAGATTGCGTAGCAAGGTACGTACTCCGAATCAGTGAATAATATGTTAATTTGTTCCAACATAAACAGTGTGCAAATATAACATTATTATGCTTTAGGTTTATTCCGAACGTAGCAAGCTTATCTGATTTTAATGATTTCATTTCTTGACTAATGATTCTGTTTGTGTACATTTACACTAGCTGCCCACACAATACGTATACCTGTCTGACCTCCCCTCTAACATAACATAAACTCATTGTTGAATTGTTGATACTTACCCAGCATCAATTAAATAGGTCAGGGAACCATGATAGAGACGTTGTACCTGTAAGGTCAGTGGTCCGTAGTAGTAACAGGGCACAAAAAGTTGCGATACTTTCTCTTCGCTAGATTGGCCCTCTTTTAAAATTGTTAAATATTAATGCAATAGGCCTATTCAACATGATGTACAGAAGTCAGAAGTACTCTGTTATTTTTTTTTTTTACCATACTGTATGTTTGTATTTTAATCCATAAAGTGATCATCTTTCAAAATACTATCAGATGATTGGCTGTAACTTATAAGAAAAAATGACTTAAACAATTAAGATGCTGAAAAATTTGCACAGGAGTTGCGATTTCTTTTTAAAATATCATTTGCCTTTAATTGTGGACTTATATAATCTAATTATGTGCCTTCAATCTAAAAATAAAAGAAACAAATATCCTAAAAAAAAGTAGTCTCAGTGATGCAATATTTATAATTATTTTCTTTGAGTTTAAATTCGAAATTAATTAAGAAATTAAAAAAAAAAAAACATCACATATTTCAAATGTAAATTGCAGTAGAACACGCTTGAATAGAAAGGGACAGATTTATAACAGTATTGACCAACCCTTTGAAATAAATCGGGAATCACGTAACTTGACCATTCCCGTGTCGTCGGTTTGCACCAAATATAAGCAATCGTCGATGATATTTTGAACGGTTTGCTGTTCTAAAAGCTGCATAACTGCGACGCTAAATAACTTTTCTCAATCACTTGAAATTCTGAAACGTAATAGTGAAAGAAAGCACACAAATACGATGTCCAAATACAAGTAAAATGTACATAAAACTAGATCAATACCCAGCCAAAGTTAATCGACTAATGAGACACTAAAAGACAATAATATACATTAAAAACGTTTGTCAAATTTAAAAATACCAATATTTGTCAGCTTATTATAGCTTATTATACGTTATTACCACACATTCATATCCTAGTTAATTTGACTTATGATACTCGAAAAGGCAATTATAAACCTTGCAATAAGTTTCACGAAACTTAAAAAGCTAATATTTGTCAGCTTATTATAGCTTAAAATTATAGGTTATTTCAATACATTGATGTCAAAGCTAATTATGACTTATGAGGCTCCAAAATGCAATAAAATACATTTGAACAAGTGTCATCGCATTTTAAGAGACCAATACTTGTAAGCTTATTATAGCTTATCATAAGTTATTTCAACATATTAATGTCAAAGTTACTTTGACTTACAATTTGTATGAAACTCATAAGAGCATATAATATATACATTAAAATAAGTGCCACAAAATTTAGAAATACCAATATTTGTCAGCTTGTTATAGCTAGCTTATTATAGGTTATTCTAGCACATTGATGTCCAAGTTAGTTTGACTTATAAGATTTCAAAAGGCAATAATATACTTTAAAATAAGTGACACCAAATTTAAAAAGACTAATATTCATCAGCTTATAATAGCTTATCATAAGTTAATCACATTGATGTCCAAGTTAATTTAGGTTTCTGAGACTCCAAAAGGCAGTAATATACCTTAAAATAAGTGTCACCACATTTAAAGATACCAATATTTGTCAGCTTACTATAGTTTATTATAAGATATTACAACACATTGGTGTCAAAGTAAATTTGACTTATGGTACTCCAAAAGGCAATAATATACCATAGAATATAAGAGTCACCACATTTAAAGAGACCAATATATATTTGTTAGCTTATAAGGTCTTTCGTTACCTAAACCTGTACCACCAACTTTAGCGAGAACACCACTTTAGTACTTTATCCAATGATATAATTATGTACTGGTAAAATGTCACATATGCTTATAACTTAGCTTACTGCATGTATATAGTTTTCTTCGCTTAAACGTGTTAAAAATAAATTGACCCATATTCGGCTGAAGTTCACCATTATTCATTATATTAAAGAACCATGTGTCACTGTCCTGCATTAAGATCCCATCTATGACATCACCGGCTTGATTTAGCAAACTATATCTTAAATCAGTGTAAAGATTGCACTCATTTTAAAAATGTTTTTCATCTTCGACCTTCCTCATGTCACAATGGGTACACAGTCTATCATGAAGTTGAATGGGTGGCCTGGCGTATCTTCCAGTCTCCACAGCTAGCGGAAGACAATTCATACGACTTTATAAATTTTACACAAATTACATATAAATAGCATATTCAGGAGTTTTCTTTATGAAGATCTCCTTCCCACTGACAGATTGCATAATAATCATTTAGACAATTTTTAGACATTTTCAGTTGATACTTAGAAAATGAAGTTTTAATCTGTTAATCTTTTTCTTGCATGTTGGATTAACAGGTAGTTAGTGTTATGCTTACTTAGAGACCAAAGAAGGATAATTTTTCTGAAGAAAATTGAAATAAATAAATACACAAAATTATTGTAATATATTCTTTGATTCATATCACTCTGCTATTTCATTTTTTATTTTATTTTTTAAATGAAGAATCAAGACAGGTATATAACTTAATTTTATGCAACACTACTATATGGTTCGGATTGGTGCCACCTGTCTGGGGAAAAAATCTGGATCCGCTCCTGGGCAGGTCTAAAGAAAATATAATGAATATTTTTGAAAATGGAAAAAATAATAAACTTTGTAACAATGAAAACAACCAAAAAGTTAAATGATGATTTTTTTTTGGTATTTCAGGCAACACAGGAAAAATTGAAAGATATGAATCAATCCATAGAGGCTGCAATTATCAACAACTGGATTGAAACTGAAGACATTATCTGCAATAATAAAGATTTAATATGATCACTAAATGGACTGCATGATTGCCAGACATCGTATACATGCTGTGCAGTTGTGGCCCAATATGGATTCAAAAGTGTCCAACAAAGCTCTTTTATCAAATTTTTGTTTTTTTAGATACATTCCGGATACATGATCTCGCATTGAAAATTCAAGTTTTCCTTAAGGGTGACCTCTTTTCTAGTTGAGGCCGTAGCTCCCTCACACATCCTCCTCATCTAGTCACTTTCTTCAAAGGCTGTTGCATTTTGCAACAGTATATGGGTCCCCCTCTATGGGTATTGAGCTTCATATTGGTATGTCCGGGGATAAAAACTTTATTTCAGGTGACAAACAATATTAAAAAATATGTTAAAAGCTGAAAATTGCCACCCATTCGAAGAAATGTATTTAAATGAGGACAGTTAAAGGGACAATTTAGTGATGTAAGGTTTTTTTTATTACCTGAAAATCAAGTTGATACTGAAAATATGTTTCTTCTAACGAAAGTTTACGTAGTTGATAATGACATGTCCTGAAGCCAACGTCCAGTGTAGTCAGTTTCATCTTTTGGGAAAGCCGGTGATAAAAATAGCTACGACCGAAATAGCACAATATCCGGGTCTTTCAGTGATAAGTAAACATGTACAACATTATGCTGTCGACATACAACACGGTGTCAGTTATGAATCTGAGTTCACACATAACTCATTTTTGAATTTACACTACATGGCAAGAAGGAATTATAAATATCATAATATATATACCTCTTATCAGATATTTCTGTTCACATTTTGATTTGAATAAGAACAAACAGGTTCCGCTAAAACGTACGTCTGTACAGTTAAGGATTTCTCCATTACTGATTAAAAACGCCAAGAAAACATTGTCTCTTTTTTCAATTTTTCGACATGAAATGTTCATAGGGTATCAAACCATATAAGAGTTTTGTGACAAGGTTATAAAAAAACTTACTTCCCTAAATTATCCCTTTAGGAAGGATGGGTAACTTTCTGATAAAAAATGTCAGTGAGATGTATTTACCGAGGAGAGCTAGGTAAAAGGTCTCTTGGTTAGCCGTCTAAGACTACTGGCATAACTCTGTGTATCAAATACTTGTATAAGTACACAAACATGCAATACGTCAGTGTGTAGTCTAGTCCCATGCTCATACACTTTTTACCTTCCAAGTTTTGTACTTTTCACATGATGTGAAATTAGCAAGCAATGGATTAGCTTAATTGACTCTCAACTTGGAAAATTCTGGGGATTGTGATTAACTGTTGCCTCAGCATAGCACACAATACACTTGACTGACTAATTGTAGAATGGATTCCATACTACAACCCTAGCTTACATATGTAAGAAAATAGTTTTTGAATATCACAAGCCTACCCTATTTTTTGCACCAAAACTGATAACTGAAGTTTGATGTGATTCATGTATTACAATATTCGCTTACAGTGAAGTTGTTGTTTTATGACACAATGTTAATCAGTCCTGCACCGGTTCCCAGGGGGACTATATATAGGTTTGAACTCTGTCCTTCCATCCGTCCTTCCATCTGAGAAATTTGCCAGGGGCATATGTCTTCTATACTATTTTACCTGTAGTAACCAGAATTGGTGTAAAAGGACGCCTTGGGATGGCAGAGTGCAAAGGCAAGAATAAGGTCACTGTGACCTATGACTTGACCTTTGACCTTCACTTTTGAAAATATTTGTACATACATCTTCTATACTTTTTCACCTGGAGTAATCAGTTTTGGTGTACAAGGACATCTTGTGATGATAGAGTGCAAAGTGTAAGACTTAGGTCACCATTACCTCACTGTGACCTATGCTTCCTGACATATGAGTGTACTATTTGTTAAATATAGAAATCATTACTTTGCCTTGTTGTAATATATCTGAAATTAAGTATCCTGGCTGACTGTCATGAATCATTGAAATTAACATGTATCCTGTTGAACTTTGTCGCTTGGGGAATACATTTATTACACTATGGAAAATAACTAGTACAAATAATTTAAAAAAATATTCTTCTTTCTTTGTTATGGGGAATTTATTTCAGTGTCATACTGTTACCGTAACATAATCATACAAAGAAGTGTATACTGACATATGACCTATGGCAAAATCCTGGTCGACCTTAAGACATTTGTGACAGGTGTACTGCTGCTGGTCTATAGAAAACATGTTTCACCCTCTACCAATAGGCACTACGGAGCTATTGCAACAGTCATATAAATATGCATTCAGAAGTCCACTACATTTGTATTTATTTATGGCAGAAGCTCTCAATGCAGTACTTGTGGTTGGTCCTCAGAGGGAAGATACATTTCAGACTATTACCAACACAGACATTAGATAAGAGTATATATCTATTCACATTAGTTTCAGCAAATTTGAATGGTGTTTATCCTGCATCTCCACTGACTGTATTGTGTTCTATTTTCCTAGAATGTTATATAACTATGGATATATTGCTACATGAAAGCATGTGTCTGGAGTACTTTCAGTACTTTGATTGTGTATTTAGCAAATTATAGGAAAGTGCTAACACTCTCACACTTCAAATACATAATCTGAGAATACCTGACTCTGTGGTCCTTAACCAGTTTCTGTAGGAAACCAGTACCAAAATGCAAAGCTTTCTTAAAAGTTTATTAAAATTCTTAACTGAAAAAGTTGGTAACTTTAAGTGTTCCTTACTGTTGTTAGAATTTTGGCCAATCTTACAGTAGATTGAAGACGCTTCCACAAACTGTCCTAAATTTAACTATTTATGAATGTTTTGAGTCGTTGTTCTCCTTATAGATAAGAAAACTAAAAGAGTTGCGGTCTATGCTTGAGGAAGAAGACCCTGACGTTTACCTGACAGTACGAAAGCTTGCAATGGTCTCGCTAATGGAAGTATTCAAGGATATTGTCCCCGACTATCGACTTCGGATCGCAACACAAGAAGAAAAATCGCAGAGGGTTTGTAGTTGTTAATTTTTCTACAATTGCCATAAAAGTATGCTAGTTGTGTGCCTGTCTTGATAGGATGATGTGTGGCGTTGTATGTTTGTCCTCATGCAGTGCTGTGTTGCCAACCTCTTAGAAATGTAAATGGCTAGATGAACAGTAGCAAACAAGGTGAAGGAGTTAAATCAGGGGTGGTGTGTGTGATGAGGATTTTTTGTGACAGTAATAGTAGTAAGGTCTGGCTGCTGATGGCACATTTCTTCATTTACTTAAAGAACACTCAGCATTTAATTTTACAGAGAGGAAAGAGCATATCAAGGGGAAAGTCCTGTTATCAGACTGCAGACTAAATTAAAAAGTGATTTTTAGCTCACCTGGCCCGAAGGGCCTAGTGAGCTTATGCCGTGGTGCGGCATCCGTCGTCCGTCCATCCGTCCGGTGTCAATATTTTACTTTTAACAACTTCTTCTCAATAACCAAATGGCTTAGGGTGATGATATTGAGCATGTAGCATGCTGGGATAAAGGGCTACCAAGATTGTTCAAATGAATGACCTTGACCTACTTTCAAGGTCACAGGGGTCAAATGTCTAAAAATCATCAAACAACTTCTCGATAACCAAAAAGCCCAGGGTACTGAAATTAGGCCTGTATCATGCTGGAATGAAGAGCTACCAACTTTGTTCAAATGAATGACCTTGACCCACTTTCAAGGTCACATGGGTCAAATGTCTTAAAATCTTCAAATGACTTCTCAATAACCAAAAGTCCCAGGGTACTTAAATTGGGCCTGTTGCATACTGGGATAAAGGGCTACCAAGTTTTTTCAAATGAATGACCTTGACCCACTTTCAAGCTCACAGGGGTCAAATGTGTTAAAATCTTCAAACAACTTCTTCTCAATAACCAAAATTCCCAAGGTACTGATATTGGGCCTGTAGCAAGCTGGAATGAAGGGCTACCAAGTTTGTTGAAATGAATGACCTTCACCCATTTTCAAGCTCACAGGGGTCAAATATGTTGAAATCTTCAAACAACTTTTGAATAATATAAAGGTCCAGGGTAATGATATTTGGCCAGAATCATGCTGGTATGAAAGGCTATAAGGTCTGTTCAACTTAATGTCCTTGTTTGACTTTCAAGGTCACATGTGTCAAATGTTTAAATCTTTTAATAGATTCTTTTGACTTGCAGTTAATGTAACATGCTGCACTTTGATTGGGTAGAGGTTTCTGCACTATCACTTTATCAAACATGATTGGATATTTGTTAAAGCTTGATCAATATGTGCACTTTACCAAAACAAAATCTGCCACTTTTTGGTTTCGATGGTTTAACATGAATTATGGGCTAAGGGGGTCAGTACTAATTTCCTTTTTCATGGTTAGAAATATAAGACATAAAAGTGACAGGGTCAGGCGTATATGTTGTTCTACCCCTGAAGTACTCTTGTTATAATTAAGAGATGATTACCTTGGCTATCTTTTGTGAACTGTCCACCATGCCTTGGAGGTAAACATGACAAGTGTTAAATGTGACTGTTTTGAGATATTTTTCATGATGTACCTTTCTTAATATTCAGGCTAGAAAAGAGACAAAGACCTTGCGTGACTTTGAAGAATCATTTATACTGAACTATCATCATTATTTGGAGTTTTTGGAGAGAACTGTACGAGGTATGAACTGCTTTAGGTATTTACGTATATATCCCTCTCATGATGTCTAATACAATCATGTATGTTTAGTCTCATGCAGTTATAAAGGACTTGTTAAACAAATTGTCACATTATCTTTGCCTAAATATTCAGTTATTTTCCATGTCGTATATTGGTTGTCAGAAATGAGCTACATGTATTTCCAAGTAATGTGCAAAGAAACATTTATGATGGTTATAGCTGTTTTTTAGCTCACCTGCCCCAAGGGCAATAACATGCTTGGATAAAGGGTTACCAAGTTTGTTGAAATGAATGACCTTCACCCATTTTCAAGCTCACAGGGGTCAAATATGTTGAAATCTTTCAACAACTACTGAATAATCTAAAGGTCCAGGGTAATGATATTTGGCCAGAATCATGCTTGTCCTTGTTTGACTTTCAAGGTCACATGTTTAAATCTATTAATAGATCTTTTGAATCAAACACTAGTATTTTGCCTGTAGCTGTATTTAATAGTCTTTTAAGATTACAAGAGTAAGATTAATATTACATTTTATACCATCTTATTTGTTTGAACTTTACAATTTATTATTTATACCCTAAGTCTCATTTTAGCAGGGAAGCTGAGACTTGTTATTGAAGCCTGTGGCTATTTTCATGACAGTCTTATTTTCAGAGTAAATCAGACAGTAAGTCTTCAATGGCATATGTTCAAGTCCTTCTATTTTGACATGGCAGAATGTAATGTTATATAGGTTTTTCAAGGAAATGAGAATGTTTAGTTTTTTCCTTTTAATATTAGATTGTTGCAATAAGTCATGTATATTGTGAAAGATACCCACAGTTAAAACTTAAACCTTTTCAACTTGCAAAATGTTAGGTGCAATGAAATAAATGAGAGTTAAATTAGTGTTCAAGTAGCTTTTTCATCTTTTCTTCGAAAATTAACAACTTTTAATGTTGACTGTCAGATAGTATCGTCAGTTTTGCTGGCAGTGATCAAGGATATGTGCAGAAGTCGACAGTAATGTACATGGTACTGCTAGCTCCTGATAGGATATTACTGTCCAAACTAATGAGATTTAATAGCTAAGTAAACTCCTGTAAAAAGCAGTGGATTTGATAGAGTCAGTATAATACATCTATGAGTCACTATCATACACACATTTAACTCCTGTATTACAGCTGGGGATTTTATAGATTCACTTTAATACTCACTTTTAACTCCTGTATTACAGCTAGGGATTTGATAGGGTTCTCTTCAATAGTACATCAGTTAGTCGCTATCATACACGATGTTCTAAAGATGTGTAACACATGCAATCATAACTTGGCCATTTTCAACAATAATTATCTCCCTTAGTCGACAATGAATATATATCCTTTGAAAAAAAGGCTGTTCCCTAAATTAACTCATTCACCCCTGAAATAATGAACTATTCCAACCTTTGAATTGAAAGAGTTCAAATGTGTCTTCAGGGGTGAATGAGTTAAAGATGTTGTTTCTTTTCTTACGAAGGCCAAATCTCCAAGAAAGCAGCTTATCACAACAGAAAGAAGGAGAGAGACACTGGTCAACTGGGTCAAGGATTGCATCAGGACAATATCAAGGTATATGAAAGGTTTTATATGATCAGCTAGGTCATCAATGGTCAGTTTATGTCAAGATATAACAGGTGTTATCTGATCAGGTCATCAATGGTCAGTTTATGTCAAGGTATAACAGGTGTTATCTGATCAGGTCATCAATGGTCAGTTTATGTCAAGGTATAACAGGTGTTATCTGATCAGGTCATCAATGGTCAGTTTATGTCCAGATATAACAGGTGTTATCTGATCAGGACATTAATGGTCAGTTTATGTCCGGATTATGTCAAGGTGAAACAGGTGTTATATGATCAGGATATCAATGGTCAGTTTATGTCAGGATTATGTCAAGGTGAAACAACTGTTATATGATCAGGACAACAATTTTCAGTTTATGTCAAGGTGAAACAGGTGTTATATGATCAGAACATTAATGATCAGTTAATGTCCGAATTATGTCCAGGTGTAACAACTGTTGTATAATCAGGACATCAATTGCCAGTTTATGTCTGGATTATGTCAAGATGCAAAAGGTGTTCATAAAATCAGGACATTAATGGTCAGTTTATGTCCAGATTATGTCAAGGTGAAACATGTGTTTTACAATCAAGACATAAATGGTCAGTTTATGTCCGGATTATGTCAAGGTGTAACAGGTGTTATATGATCCTAATATTTATTGTCCGTTTATGTCCGAATTATGTCAAGGTGTAACAGGTGTTATATGATCAGGACATTAATGGTCAGTTCATGTCTGAATTATGTCAAGGTGAAACAGGTGTTATATGATCAGGACATCAATGGTCAGTTTATGACTGGATTATGTCAATGTGTAACAGGTGTTATACAATCTGGACATTAATGGTCAGTTTATGTCAGGATTATGTCAAGGTGAAACAGGTGTTATATGATCAGGATATCAATGGTCAGTTTATGGCCAGATTATGTCAAAGTGTAACAGGTGTAATATGATCAGGACATTAATGGTCAGTTTATGTCCAGATTATGTCAAGGTGTAACGGGTGTTATATGATCAGGACAGCAATGGTCAGTTTATGTCCAGATTATGTCAAAGTGTAACAGGTGTAATATGATCAGGACATTAATGGTCAGTTTATGTCCAGATTATGTCAAAGTGTAACAGGTGTAATATGATCAGGACAGCAATGGTCAGTTTATGTCCAGATTATGTCAATGTGTAACAGGTGTTATATGATCAGGACAGCAATGGTCAGTTTATGTCCAGATTATGTCCATGTATGAAAGGTGAACTGTCAATTATATGTTTTTGTGGTCTTCTTCTGTCAAAGGGGCTTAAAATTTCATCAGTCTCTATTTACACGCTCAGATGTGTATGATTGAAATTTTCATCATGAAAGGAAAAGTCCTTATTAAGGTGAATTTTGTTACCCCTGGCTTTCCATTTCCCCATTGAAGGATTAAAGTTGAATACTAGTTTTTATATTGAAATAACACTTTTGGTGGAAAATAATTCAAACTTAGTTAGAATTATTAAATCCTGACTCGCCCCTGCAGCCAGAGGTTTGGGCCCCGAATGTGGACCAAATTTCAACAATCTTCAATCCTTTAGATCTTGTTATGCTAGAATCAAAAACTCTTTATGGATGGAAAGGTCTTTATGAAAACTGAATTTAATTACCCTCGGGTCACCCTTCCCCCCCCCCCCCTGCAGAGGGGTAAAGTTAACTATTATGGTAGTTTTACTTGGTTGGAATTATCATCATGTGAATGCAGTTTGACGATATATATATTAAGACCTTGATCACCCCTGGCGTCTGAGGGGCAGGGTCCAAAAGGGCCAGGCTAAATTCCCAGCAATTTCCATCTTTAGACCATTTCAGATATGCAAGAACTAAATATTCTTCATCGATAGAAGGGTTCTGAGGTGCTTCATCGATATTGTAAATTTCATCACTCAGGCATATGGTATATATTTGTCACTCTCCAGCATCATTTTTAACTATCTTTGCACAGCAAACAACAATAACAATTACATGTATATCACAACTCAGTTGACAGTTTATGTATATAAGGCCCATGCATGATGGCCATGAGCGTAGCTCTTTTCATTTTACTACATAAACTATAACCTGTAAGTGTTCACAGAATATAGCTGGGCAATTTCTTAGGTAATAAGGGTCTGTGGAAACGCTGTCATATCATCTATCAAGTTTGCCGGGTGTATTATGTACATGGTGGTAAGATGGTGAGATTATTCCCAGCAGGACCCCTCCTGATGGGTCACTTTTCTTTAAAATGGAATTTAAGGGATACCGAACTGAATAACTGAAGTTTTGTACACTTGTGTGTGTTTCAGGTGTTGAAGACGATGGCCCTGAGGTGTTTGTGCCAGATGTTGGTGACACACCCTCACTTTAACTACAGGAACAACATTGTCACTGTCATAGTACCATTCATGAACAAGGCAGATGTGCAGGTGAATATCAGATTTCCACTTATCTCTACTGTAAAGGTGGGAAAAGAAAGGGTATACCTGGTAAACATATGTTTAAGGTCAATGGGGTTGGACCAGCTATTTGTGAAGAACAAAAATACCTGGAATCTTGATAAATGCACAGGCATACACTGGCATGCAGAACTACAAAAGTCAATTATTTATGAAAGGAAAAAACCCCATGAAAATCCGATAACCATAGTACACAGTTGCTGAGAATGAATTGAGAGACAAATACATACAAATTCTACCAGGATAGATTTAGTCCCTGGGTCATAACTTCGATACAATTAACATCCCCACCCCACTACCATATATACGTAAGTTACATGTAGGCATTAAGAGACAAACACCATCATGCTATCATAATTAAATCTGGGGTCTGGCCCCACCCATTAGGATTTATTCCTTGTGTCAAAACTTGGAAAAAGTTAGGATTCCCACCCCTTTAACACATTGACATAACATTTAATATAATTACTGTTTATGAAAAATACGAATAAATGACTTGGTATGTTATCAGGATAGAATGTGACTCTGATTGCTCAAGTATGAAGATGAGCAATAACTGTCATCTTGACCTCTCGTTTTAACATTATTTTGTTTTTATTTGTAGATGTCATGTATAGCCTGTGACACTGTCAGAAATGTTTTCAGAGAAGATCGTGGAGGTCATATTAGCCTAGAGGTACATATATTGTGTGTATTGATAGGGGAAGAAAACAGAGGGACATATATTGTGTGTATTGAAAGGGGAAGAAAACAGAGGTACTTATATTGTGTGTATTGATAGGGGAAGAAAACACAGGTACATATATTGTGTGTAGTGATAGGGGAAGAAAACAGAGGAACATATATTGTGTGTATTGAAAGGGGAAGAAAACAGAGGTACGTATATTGTGTGTATTGATAGGTGAAGAAAACGGAGGTACATATATTGTGTGTATCGATAGGGGAAGAAAACGGAGGTACATATATTGTGTGTATTTATAGGGGAAGAAAACAGAGATACATATATTGTGTGTATTTATAGGGGAAGAAAACAGAGGTTCATATATTGTGTGTATTGAAAGGGGAAGAAAACAGAGGTTCATATATTGTGTGTATTGAAAGGGGAAGAAAACAGAGGTTCATATATTGTGTGTATTGAGAGGGGAAGAAAACCGAGGTACATATATTGTGTGAATTGATAGGGGAAGAAAACCGAGGTACATATATTGTGTGTAGTGATAGGGGAAGAAAACAGAGGTATATATATTGTGTGTATTGATCGGGGAAGAAAAAAGAGGAACATATATTGTGTGTATTGAAAGGGGAAGAAAACAGAGGTACTTATATTGTGTGTATTGATAGGTGAAGAAAACGGAGGTACATATATTGCGTGTATTGATAGGGGAAGAGATCAGAGGTACATATATTGTGCGGATTGATAGGGGAAGAAAACACAGGTACATATATTGTGTGTATCGATAGGGGAAGAAAACGGAGGTACATATATTGTGTGAATTGATAGGGGAAGAAAACAGCGGTACATATATTGTGTGTATTGATAGGGGAAGAAAACCAAAAATTTAAAAATACTGTTGTCCTGGTCCTCTTATGTACAAGGCATATTGTGCACAGATTAGCAGATGTGTAGGGATTTGATTTTGTCTACAAATAAATATATTGTGACTCCTTTCATTTTAACTTGGACGTGTTTGACAAAGGAAGGGTGTCTATAAGGCCCTTTTTTGTACCCCGGTATATTCGGATTTTCACCTCCTTATTTTGTTCAAAGATGCCCTATTGTATGACATGCAGAAAAACTAAGGTAAAACTTTGACCGAAAGTGGGTTTCTGGGGGTACCAAAAGGGTATGGTAAATCACAAATATAGTTTGCTGTTTACAAAATGACCTTAAAAACCAAAATAATACCATTTCTGTTTTTGAAAACATGTATAAATTAGACAAGCATATGTAACGGAATGAAAAATGACAGAAATTCAATCATCCCTTAAAGATTGTTTATATAAAACGAAGGATTACGTTAAAAGTAATTTGTTTTCTCAATAATTTCCTTTCAAATTAATATTTTGACTTGAAATTTACAACTTCACTCATTTAAGTAGACTTACATAAATTGCATATTGACTACACACTTTCCTTTTGTTTTATACTGAGTTATGGCTTCTTGACACATCTCAAACTTGGCTTTTTCAAATATCTCTCAATTTTAAGTGAATTAAAAGGAGCATGACACCCTTTATATGCTATTAGTACAGTATAAGATGTCAATTGTTAGTATTGTATATTATATATATCATATAATATTTGCTCAACACCTTTGGCTGAAGTGAGTTCCTGGTCCTGATTTGTTTTTTTACTTATCAAAGTTAACTTACAAATCAAAAATGGCATTTGCCACCACAACTTCTGTAAAATGATTGATTTAATGTATGGAGTTTGATTTGCTGGTAATTTTAAGTCTCCTAGCCTCAAGGAAAGTATCTGTTTTAATCGTTAAAGTTAACCGATTTCTTGTTTTATCAAATGTTCTGCCTATTTCCAATGTTTATACGCTGATTGTACATAAAAGGCATTTGGGGATAAGCATGTAACTTGGCATACAGTTTAGTTATATGATGATATTTAATTTGTAAAAGTTTCATACTTATCCCACAATGCCTTTTTACTTAAAAACACATTTTCCAGTGATTTAGAGTACAAGGACCAAAGTGCATCTCCTTGCCTAACACCAAATATTACCTGACAATACTAGTCTATATGAATTTATGTAGAGACTAAGTTGTTCGTTCAAGTTAATGCTTGCAATTAACAGTTAATCCTTTTGTTAATTTCATACGGTTTATTTGTTACATTCAATGCTAGCTGCTAAAAAAATCATGTAATCCTGTTAAGTTATGGGAAAATCTTTTCTTATTGAGGAGAGACAGATATCCCTCAGGTCAGATATCCCTCATGACAGATATCCCTCAGGTCAGATATCCATCAGGTCAGATATCCCTCAGGACAGATATCCCTCAGGTCAGATATCCATCAGGTCAGATATCGCTATTGAAATAAGCTTGTTATGAACGAGTGAGTTATTTGATGCACAATTTGGCAAAAAAAAAATTAACTGATCTGGAGTGAAAAGTTCATTGCTGGTAATTTAGAGTGAGGAAGAGGACTAGGACAAGTTGTTAGTACCTTTATTCTCATTTGTGCAGGTGTGTTCTCCTTGCCTTTAATTGTTTAAAGTGATAATACAATGACTATTTTGTGATTAAGTGTTTTATGTAAAAATAAAAATAGAGAGCATAAAAAACACATTTTTGTGGGATATTGAAAATGGCTTCCAAATCAGACATCTTTTAAAACATATGAAAACAACAGGTACCTCACTTTTTGACACATGTTTTAGATGCATGCTTGCTTTGAAAAATGATGATAGAATGAAAAATGTTACGCTAGAGTAAAATGAGATTGGAATGTGATTTCAACCCCAGAAGAGTAGAATTGTGTCGTTAGCCTTCATTTGGTTTTGTTGACGTTGGAATGATTGTTTTTCAGATTGTAAAGGCAGTCAGTAAAATGATAAAGTCCAGAGATTTCAAAGTAAAGAGGGAGGTAAGGGTAGTATTCAAAGGTTATACTGTAATTATTCAGTATATGTGATGGTTTATAACATGGAAATAACAATGTATGTGAGATGGTTTATAACATGGAAATAACAATGTATATGAGATGGTTTATAACATGGAAATAACAATTTATGTGAGATGGTTTATGACATTGTAACTACAATGTATGGGTGATGGTTTATGACATTGTAACTACAATGTATGGGTGATGGTTTATAACATGGAAATAACAATGTATGTGAGATGGTTTATAACATGGAAATAACAATGTATGTGAGATGGTTTATGACATGGTAACTACAATGTATGGGTGATGGTTTATGACATTGTAACTACAATGTATGGGTGATGGTTTATAACATTGTAACTACAATGTATGTGTGATGGTTTATAACATGGTAATTACAATGTATGGGTGATGGTTTATAATATTGTAATTACAATGTATGTGTGATGGTTTATAACATGGTAATTACAATGTATGTGTGATGGTTTATAACATTGTAACTACAATGTATGTGTGATGGTTTATAATATTGTCATATAACATTGTAACTACAATGTATGTGTGATGGTTTATAACATTGTCATATAATATTGTAACTACAATGTATGTGTGATGGTTTATAACATGGAAATTACAATGTTTGTGTGATCACCTGTTGCTAGGTACTGGATACTTTTCTCAGCCTCCGTATTAAAGAAGTAGATTACGAGGCACAGGGGGAGAAATTAACCGGTCAGCAACGGAAGGACATGAAGAAGAAAATGTCCAAACGAGAAAAAAAGGTAAGCAATGTTAAATTGATCAAGATGGGAGAGTTCAGTTCAGTCAAAAACATATATCAATAGTCAAAGTCTTGATTCACAGAAACAATGCGTAGAAGTTTAATTATAAAGAAATGTCTCTTATACCTGTGTTTGTCAGATATTGTATGGCATACTTACACTCACAAACTATATGAGAATATACTTTTCAATCCTCAAACACTGGTTTAACAATGGAAAACATACCTTAAAATCTCTCCTGGAATATGTGTGCTACCCAAAGGCTTCAATTTTTTTTTCAAATAGTGACCAAAACCGTACATTGATGGAAGGTTGACATTTTACCATTCCTGTAATTGTCTAATTAGATCATCAACTGAAATACCTGATTGAAATTTTGTAGAGAAAGAAGCAGATGGAGGAATTGGAAAAAGAATTACAAGAGACGAAAGCTACGGAGGACAAGAGACGTAGAATGAAATTAGTAAATCTCTTTATTACCACACAGCATCTGCCTCTCATCTTACACCCGCTTAATAGGATGTTAAGATAATTCAGTTTTGTGTGGTGGTGTAGGTCAACATGGAATTTTAATTATACTCAATGGTCATTTAACTTATTCCTGTTCTTCAGAATGTTATGGAAATTTTAGATTTGGTAAGGTAAAGTAGGTGTCAAAAGATTATCATTATATAATAGTTCACTAAGTTCAGGGGAAAAAAATGTTTGCAATATATTTTTTCACCTTAATTTATATATTAATGAAGCATGCTTGAATTTAGTAGTAATTATCCAAGTGATTGTCGTTCTTGTTGAGTAACATTCAATACTAGAAAGATAATATCATGTACCCCAGTCTAATATCAACATACTGGAGGTTGATATGACAACTATATCATTGCTTTGTCCAAACTGGTATTAGTTATTGTCAACAGCACGGACATGATTATGACATTGTTTGATATTTCAGCACACAGAGACAATACAGGCAGTGTTCTTAACTTACTTTCGCATCCTGAAGGGAGGGGTCAGCTCCGAGCTGTTATCTGCTGTCCTGGAAGGGTTAGCAAAGTAAGTGGTCATTATTCTGATGTTGACAAAAAGAGACCTGGTGTAGTGTTTCTGAACAATTTCTTCAGGTTAGCACAACCAGTGTTTTAGTGTAACATTTCAACAACTAGTAAGGTGCATACCCTGTCAATTTTCATCTGACAAATTACCAGTGAAATGGATCAGATTCAGCTACTCTATAAGTGGACATACAAATGTACACTTTAATAGCTATTAATATACATGTACAAAATGACAAATCAAATTGACAAATCGATTTGGCTATGCTTTCTTTAACACCTGGTCTTAGACTTGTGAGAGTCTATGAGCCCCCTCATCTCAATTTAGAATTGACAGTTGCAAAAATAATCATAATTTAGCTATAAAAAAATACTTCTGGCAAATTTTTGGAGCAAAAATATTGCCAGTTTTGTTAAAATCCTTTATGATTGTAACCATCTTTATAGCTAGCTGCCTTATCCTGGTGAATTCACTGCCCAACTTACAGTTGATTGTTTCTTATGATAAGATTTATTCTACATTGAAAGTATTGGTCAACATGAGATTTTAATTATACTCCCATGGCCATTTAACTTATTCCTGTTCTTCAGAATGTTAAGGAAAACTGCAAAGGAAAAGGGAGCTTGCTCCTTTTGAGGGCCAAAACTTGATAAACTTTTTTTGGTATCTAAAAAAAATCTTCTGAGAAAACAGAAATCTGATGGTATGATATTCATTGTGTAGCACCCTTAGTATATGTTCTTTAAAGTTTCCATCTTAAAACATAATCATGATCTGTGATCAGTAGCTTGCTAGTATGGATTGCTTTCAAAAAGAAAGGAACTAGATTTATATGTCAATTCACAGGGTTGAAATGTGTTGTCAAGCATTGACTATCAGGTGATGGATGTAGAGCCACTAAGTCTCCTGTTTATTGTTAAGTGGTCAAGTCAGAATATTCAATTCCTGCTAATGCTTTCAAATTTCATTACAGATTTGCACACCTGATAAATGTTGATTTCTTTGACGACTTGTTCAAAGTTTTTGATGACCTGATTTCCTCTGGGGTAAGTGTATCCAGTATTATCTTCCCATTGTTGATCATGTTACGTCAGTGACATTGATTTGTTGGAAGATTGGCTACAGTGCATCAATTAAAAATAACCTCAGAACAGGTTTTTTTTCTGTTTCAGGTTTGCATTCCATTTTGCTGTAATTGGTCAGTGACTTGAATCAGTTAATTTCTACATAATTTGTGGTTCAGAACTATGAAGTAATGTTGTTAAGTAACTTATTAATATTCAGTATTGTATCCACACACTCAAGCTTCATTTAACAGCAATCAATAACTGTTGTTAGATCCACTGGCCAAAAGGTAGCATGCTGGGTTGAAGGGCAATCCAATGTGTTTACAATGAATGACCGGCCTCACCCACCTTGAGTTTTTTCACACTAATTATGATATTTCTGTTGTTTGTTATACAGGAGCTGTCCTACAGAGAGTCGCTGCATTGTGTTCAGACGGCATTCATCATTCTGTCGGGACAGGGGGCAGCACTGAACATTGACCCTATGACCTTCTACACCCATCTGTATAACACAGTTTTCAATGTCCATGCAGGTAAGTACACAAATCCATATCAACAAGTATTCTAGCTCAGATAACCACTGGGTGTAATGGGCAGTAAGTAAGTAAGTAATATTTATCCCTGAGGTTTACTTTATTAATGCTACAGTAAACATGTATATAAATAATATTGCTTTATTGTCATTCTTTGAATAATTATGTCTCCCCTTCGAATGAAGGGAGACATATTGTATTAGTACTAGTTCTTCTTCTTCTTCTTCTTCTTCTTCTTCTTCTGGTTCTGGTTCTTCTAATCGAACTTGTCCGGGCCATAACTTTTAAACTGAGTAAGATATCTGGATGAAACTTTAGGTATGCATGCATTACCTACAGGAGGTGTGCAGTGCACTGGAATTAGGTCACTGTGACCTTCACGTCAAGGTCAAAGGTCAAATAAGTGCACATTTTCAGTAAATTCTTGTCCGGGGCGTAAATTTCAAACCGTTAAAGATATCTAGATCAAGATTGAAGTGTATCTGCATCACCCACAGAAGTTGTGTAGTGCAATAGAATTAGGTCTTGTGCTTCACTATATACAGAGTTAGTGCCCTTTGTTTAATTTTAATGCCGAAGTTTGTCCGGAGCATAAGTTCCATGTTATTTCACCTACGTTGACCATACTTACAATATTAACAAATCTTGGGAAGGCGGAAGTTTTTTGCACTAAAAACAGATTTTATGCCCCACAATATACAGAGTTATGGCCTTTTGTTTATTTTCAATACCGAAGTTTGTCCAGAGCATAAGTTCTATATTATTGCCCCACTATATACAGCGTTATGGCCCTTTGTTTATTTTTGATACCGAAGTTTGTCCACGGCATAACTTCTAAATCATTAAAGATATCTTAATCAAACTTGAAGTACATTTGTATACCTGCATCACTCACAGAAGGTGTGCAGTGCACTAAAATCAGGTTTTGTGCCCCACTATATACAGAGTTATGGCCTTTTATTTATTCTTAATGCCGAAGTTTGTCTACGGCATAACTTCCATGTTATTTCACCTACGTTGACCAAACTTGCTATAGTTTTAATGTATCTTGGGAAGTAGGAGTGTCGCATTCTGAATTCGGGTCTCATGCCCCACTATATAAAGCGATATGGCCCTTTGTTTATATTTTATACCTGAGTTTTTCTATAGGCTAATAAGGGGAGACATATGTTTTTGTTCACAAAAACAAAATTCTAGTTTTATTATTTGACAGGGTGTTCTAGTGAAGATATTCCAATCATCCTTAATTGTCTGGACGCCATGGTAACTCGGAGAAAAAGACAGGTCAGTATAGCAACAGCTGCCAACTTTAGAACACATTGATAATACATATAGCTTGCCTACCTGACAAGTAAGAGATCATATGCTTTTGTCACCCCTCGTCCCTCTGTCAGACTTGAAAGCTTGATGGAGTTTGACCACATTTTGTGTAGAACATGACCCTTTCAAAACATAGAAGATTTAGTTTTGTTTAATAGGAGGATTAGGACCCCCTGGGTCAGGGTCCATTAGTTACTAAGGGGTAAAACCCTTACTAAAAATCATCCTTCAGTCCAAATTTAGGCATTTTTGATCATGTAGCCTAAAGAGGTTAGTGAGCTATTGCAATCTGTTGCTTGTAAAAAAAAAATGAACTTCTACCTGAGTGACAACTCCATAAAAAAACACAGATTTCAAATAGTCAATGAGTGGAAATCTCCTCAGATTGATCAGGTTAAGGTTAAGGTTAAAGGTGAACTCTAAGCACTGGTTCTGTTAAATGTTTTCATTGGCTCTAATATCCATCCATCTCAAATCTTCTTAAGTTCCATAAGGCACAGGGTCATGGTATTTGGCTGGTGTTGTTTTAAGTTTAGTTTTTATTTCAGAAGGTATATTAGACATTTTACTGTTGAAAGTATAAAGACAATTATGTTGGCACAAAGACACGAGCTTGACCACTATTCAGCTTGCAGATAACATTTTGTGGTTGAGCTCATGCAACTAATGTAAAAACAAGGATGCTTATATAGCAAAAAAACACATGATTACGCTACATGGGAGTGCCGTGTCTTCAATCTCCAAAAACATCAATTAGAAATATCGATTGGTGTATATAGTTATTCTGAACAAATTAAGTTCAACTATATTATACATTATACATAAGCCAATTACCATCACATTGCATCGTTTCTAACATAATGAAGGAGACTTCCAGAGTATGTATCCCCTGCAGAATTGGGGATTTGCTTTGGTGTCCTCTATTTGGGGACACAAAAGCAACCAAAACCAATCTGCTGCACCCATTGCAGTATTTGGGATCTTTATCTTTCTTTCTTTCATACCAAAGTCCTTAAAAATGGTAGTTGTTATTCCCTGCTTAACGTTCAGCATTTGGCGGATTGGCAACAACTGGTTCACCCGTTGTCAGTATAATGTGACTGAGCGGAATGCTGTGCTGGGTGCCTTCGAGATAGCACTATAAAGTCGGCATCAGATCCGCGCTATCACAAGGAGGCATGCACACCAACATACCCTGTCTCCTCCATACACACACACACATTCATGCAAGCACACATACACTACACACACATACACTACACACATGGAGACACGCCCTTAAATGACCTTATAGCTGTTAATAGGATGTTAAACAAAATTAAACCAAAGCAAACCATGTTCAAAATTAAAATACAACTGGTAAGTGTTAGACTTCTTAAATGTTTCAGATTTCTCAACAAAGAGTGCTGGCATTCATCAAGAGGCTGATAACACTGGCCCTAATGCAGTCCCATGAAGGAAGTCTTCCTTTGCTGCTGGCTGTCAGGAACTTTATCTTGGTAAGCTGGGTTGGTCTTCAAACAACTTAGATATTTCATAGCACTTAAGTAAAGCACATGGACCTGACAATACAGGTAGTTTAATGTTGAGTTTGCATGTCGATATATCATTAGACTTTTAAAGGCTTGATTATATTGTTAACTGACACAGAAAGAAAAAAAATCTGTTGTTTGTTTTTGAGCTGGATCGCTTGGTGTAAAATGCTCATGTGATGGTGTGGCATCCATCTGTCCGGCATCCATCTGTCCAGCATCATTTTTTTTAGCTGACTATCATCAGCTGGTGGGCTGTTCATATCTAATGTGTGATCAGACATCTGTCATTGAATCTGTGGAACTACAATGTACTGAAGGGATTACAATTTAACTTGTTACTCTTAGTCTTGGTGTACCAGCCAAGGAATAGGCAGGGAAAAAATGCCTCAATGGCAACCTAGCTCTGCCAGTGATACAGTCCTGGGACGTGCTCACTATATGGAGTGTGGCCAGTGGCTGGATAGGTTTCCATTTACATGTTACGTTAGGTGAAAGCATCAGAACCCTGGGCCCGTATTCATGAAGCCATTCTCATGCTCAAGCATGGATTTTGTGCTCAGGCCTAATTTCTTGGTCCAGTTAAAAATTATTTAAAAAAACTTATTTTGTCAAAGTTTTGAACAAAAATTGAAGAGATTTGAAGCCGAATAATGTTTTCAATATTTACATTTGACATTTTGTTCGCTAACATGATTTAGGTGAGTATCAAGAAGGCTGGGTTGAACACAGAATCCATGCTTGAGGATGAGAACGGTTTCATGAAGCCCTGGAGTACCTGTCAGTGCCTGATGGTACGGGCCCTGGAGTACCTGTCAGTGCCTGATGGTACGGGAAGGTGCATTGGTACACAGGGAGGAGCCCATCGGTGCCGATTCGCATATTACACAAAGTTGTTCAATCTCCAATTTCATAAATCAAAGAAGGAAAATGGCTGCCAGGCAGCCATCTTGGATAGAAAACTATTTTTATGACTGCAAAAGTGGTGCACCTTATTGGTCTCATGGATCTTCTAAAAGGCCTGAAATGGGGATGTTTGGCCTGTTACTTGCTGGAACAATTACACAATATCCAGTTTGTGAAATGAATTATCCTGATCAAGTTTTCTTGAGTAAATTAAGTCGGAATCTTTCAACATATATCCTTTATATATCAATACATTTTTGTTTGAATGACCAATAGTCATACCAGGAAGTCCTTATTACTTTCAAAGACTGACACCAAATTTGATATTATTAATGCAGGCCTATCGTTTTAACACAGTCTTTCTTCATCCCTTAAAACTCCTATACTCTTGTGAATTACCATTACAGACATACAAATCTAGTGAAATGCTCTTTGATAACGAGACCCAAGGGAGCGGGGTTTTCCTGCCTGAGTTGTCAGACCCGGAGCACTGTAACGCACACAACACTATGCTATGGGAACTACAATTGTTGAAGGTGAGAGGTCATGATCACAAATTCAAAATCTTGGTGGAAGTATTATTTAAAGTGATAGTACACTTTGATTAAAATAAGTATGTTTTTCCATGTTTTGACTATTTAATCTTTGAGCAGATTTTCACAGTAGATACAATGTACACTGAACATATTGGTGTCACAGTAGATACACTGAACATATTGGTGTCACAGTAGATTTTAGATATCTACTGTGACACCAATATGTTCAGTGTAACTACTGTGACACCAATATGTTCAGTGTATTTTCTCAAAAAATACTCAAAAATATTGAAAAAGTGAGTTGTTAATCATCATTTTACAGTGAATAGAAATATAGGAACAGATTATAAAACAAGTGTATTTTATAATAAATCCCATTGCCATTGTTTCTGATTTTGGTGTGTAAATGATACACAGTTATATCTTTTTAAGTTTGTTATTGCTGAAGTGACTAGCAGTTAAAGCAATGGGATTCCATTAGTGGTATTATTGAAGTTTAAATGGTTCCAATACCTCTGCTTGGATAGGATTGGTCTGGACATTTGGTCCGTGTTATATCCAGGATTTATTCCAACATGACATGTTGTTTTAGCACCATTACCATCCTGTGACGAGACGGATCAGTGCTCATGTGTCCCTACAGACTCCAACTTCCGGGGAAGGACAACTGACTGCAGACCTGGCACGCAAGTGAGAACCAAGACAATCATATCTCTCCTGGCCTGGTCCATCACATATATACTGTCTCTCCCTCAGTCATAGATAATCTGTGTCCCCAAAGGTCAGAGATAAACCATCACTCCCAAGATCAGAGATAATCCATCGCTCCCAAGATCAGAGATAATCCATCACTCCCAAGGTCAGGGATAATCTATCACTCCCAAGGTCAAAGATAATCCATCACTTCAAAGGTCGGAGATAATCCATCACTTCCGAGGTCAGAGATAATCCATCACTCCCAAGGTCAGAGATGATCTATAACTCCCAAGGTCAGAGATAATCCATCACTCACAAGATCAGAGATAAGCCATCACTCCCAAGGTCGGAGATAATCCATCACTTCCAAGGTCGGAGATAATCCATAACTCCCAAGGTCAGAGATGATCCATCAATCTCAAGATCAGAGATAATCCATCACTCCCAAGGTCAGAGATAAACCATCACTCCCAAGATCAGATATAATCCATAACTCTCAAGAGCAGGGATAATCCATCACTCCAAAGATCCCTCAGTCATAGATAATCTGTGTCCCCAAAGGTCAGAGATAAACCATCACTCCCAAGGTCAGTGATTACCCCATCTGTCCGAAGGTCAGAGATTAACCACTCTCTCCCAAGGTTAGAGAATGTCCCATCTCTCCTAAAGTCAGGGATTATCCACTCTCTCCTAAAGTCAGAGATTATCCCATCTCTATCCCAAGGTCCGAGATTATCACATCTCTCTACCAACTGAAGGTCAGAGATTACCCCATCTCTCTCCCAAGGTCAGATATTACCCAATCTGTCCCAAGATTAGAGATTACCCCATCTGTCCCAAGGTCAGAGATTAACCACTCTTTCCTAAAGTCAGATATTTCCCCATCGCTCTCAAGGTCCTAAAGGTATGTTTCTGATATAATTCATTTTATAAGCCCACCATAATCTGATGGTGGGCTATTCAAATCGCCCTGCGTCTGTAGTCCGTCCGTCGTCCTTCCTTAAACAATTCTTGTTATTGATATTACTCAGGAAGTACCAGAGATCTTTCTCAAATTTTATATGTAGGCTCCCCTTGGTCCCTAGTTGTGCATGTTTACTTTTGAGACTGATCAAATAAACAAAATGGCTGACAGGCAGCCATCTTGGATGTTGACAGTGAAGGTTTGTTATACCGGTAGCTATTTCTCAAGAAGTGCTGAGAGATCTTTCTCAAATTTTATATATAGATTCCCCTTGGTCTGTAGTAGTGCATGTTTAATTTTGAGACAGATCGGATTAACAAAATGGCCGACAAGCAGCCATCTTGGAGTATGATCATGACATTCGATGTTTGTTATCTCACGAAGAACTTCAGGGATCTTTTCTCAAGTTTGTTTTTAAGGTTCCCCTTGATCTTTACATGCTACTTTTGAGAATTGTAAAGCATGGCAGTTTGATTTTTAAGTTAAATTTAACGAAGGGCAGGGACATATTGTTAAAAAGACAAATTTCCATAATTCTCTTTCAATACCAATTACAGAAATTCACGATCTTTTTTTAGGTCACCTGAGCTTTGCTCAAGTGACCTATTCTAATCGCTTTCCGTCCGTCGTCCGTTGGCGTCGTCCGTCGTGCGTAATTTTTTTACATTTTCAACTTCTTCTGAAGAACCAGTGGATGGATATTTTTCAAACTTGGTCAGAATCAACCTTGGTAGATGAGGCTACAAAATTGTAAAATTGAAATTCCTACCCCACCCCCTGGGGCCAGGGCAGGGCCCCAAAGGGAAAATTAACCAATATTTCAAAAATCTTCTTCTCCAGACTCAGAGGTACTACAGTCATTTTCTCTGCATGGAAAGAAAGATCATCAGGAGCTTTACTTAAATTGTAAATTTCAGAACCCCCAGCTATTCGTTCTCCCTTGGCGAGGGGGTAAAGTTTACTATAGTTTATATAGGGAAATAACAGTTTTGGGGATATATATTTTATCAATTTTCAGCAGAAAATTACTCAAACTTAGTCATAATCATCTTTGGTGAATGAGAGTATTCCTTTGTAAAATTGGGATTCCTGCCCCATCCCCAGGGGCTAGGGCAGGGCCCCAAAGGAAACATTTAACAATATTTTCAAATTCTTATCCTTTAATGACATGACAAGTATTGTATTTCACTTAGTTTACATGTTGATTTCCACATCACATCTAAACAATAAAATAAAGCTACCAGTACCTATGATATAACTCAGGCGACTGCTAAGGCCCTTGGGCCTCTTGTTTATATTTGACATGACCTTGACACGTGATCTAGCTAGTAACTTCTTATTTGATTTGTATGGATAAAAATAGTGAGTTACTTCAGGCTCCAAGGGTCCAACATTCCAGCTTTGTTAAGTTGTGATGCTCTTTTTTTCTACAGAAAACCACAGGAGCTGTATGAAGAACACAAAGCAGGAGAGGAACTATTCGTTCCGATGCCGCCAAATAAATCCTCTTCTAAAAACAAAACGCTACACAACAAGGTAACGTAGTTCTACATCTGTATTTCCAAATGAGCTTATGTCATTGCTTGGCATATTTTGTCCATCAGCCTTTTCCTTTAAACATTACTCATCTTAAACAACTTTTCAGATTTCAACCAAATTTGCTATATTGCATCATTGGAAACAGAAAGTCAAATAATGCATAAAGTAAGGATATAGTTCCTCAGGAGGCTGAGGGGGATTGGGCAAATAGGAGAAATTAGTGGATTTCAATCATCAAAAGACCACTTCTCGAGAAGGGTTAGATATAGTCTGGAGGGTGGTCGGATGGCGCAGTGGATAGCACACATTCCTTTCTCCAGACGAAAGGTATGGGGTCACCTGCCTGACCACATGGGTTTTCTTCGGGTGCTTTGGTTTCCTCTCACATTAAGACTCCTGCACACTAACATCCAACAAGAGTTGAAATAACTTGTATCATAATTGTTGTAGAATAAATAAAGTTTACTTACACAAATTTTGCATTTATCATCAGTAGGGAGGCAAAAAGAAATATATATATAGCAATTTGTGGAAATTTAGTCTTCAAAAGTCTTCTCCTGAAGGGCTGCATTGATTGTTAGCTCATCTGATCCAAAGGATCGGTGAGCTTATGCAATGGCACAGAGTCTGTTGTCAGTCAACTTTTCCTTAAAAACTTAACTCCTTATGAACGTACTGCTCAACTTATTTCAACAAAATTTGCTAGGTTATATCTTTTGGATTAGAGAATCAAATTTTGCATAGTGCAAGGGTGTGGTCACTCTGATGTCTGAAAAAGGAGGTACTGACTATTTCAATAGTCCGTCCGTTCATCCTTCCTTCCATACCTCTGTCCGTCCTTCTATCCAAGAAGTTTGTCCTTTACATATCTACTATACTATTTCACCTGGAGTAGCCAGATTTGATGTACAAGAACATCTTGGGATGACGGAGTGCAGAGTGCAAGAATAAGGTCACTATGACCTAGGACTTGACCTTTGACTTTTACTTTTGAAAATGTTTGTACAGGGCATATCTTCTATACTATTTCACCTGGAGTAATCAGATTTGGTGTACAAGGACATCTTGGGATTGCAGAGTGCAAGAAGAAGGTCACTGTGACCTCACTGTGACCTATGCTTCCAGACATTAGTGTACTGTTTGTTAAATGTACAAATCATTACCGGTGGGGGGACTATGGATTGTCTTGCATTACTTTGTCTTGTTATTATAGCATCCGTAACCAAAGAGCCTCTCTCTCTCTCTGTCCCCCTCCCTCCCTCCCTCCCTCCCTCCTCCCCCCCTTAACTTTTACTGGCAAGAAGTAAATCTTTAAAATCCATCACTATAAATACGAATTGATACATAATGTCTCCTATTTTGCCCCGACCCTCTGTCCTCAGGAAGGCCATACCTATTTTTCAATAAATTTTAAAAGCTCGAAAAAATATCAAGAATTTTTCAGATATATTAAACAAAATGTTTTCATTTGTTTTCAGATTGGTGCCCATAGCATGATTCAGAAAGATTTCAATCTGTCAATAGTAGAAATGTTTCTATCAGTAGAAACAGGAGAAAAGGCTAACTGCACCACAGGTCATTCTTTGAATGCTACATGAAAGTGAAATGATTTTCATATGAATAAATTTTGAGGTATTAAATCATTGAATTAAGACTTTTCTGTTCAGATACTTTGAACCAAGATGGCATAAGAGGCCTCTAAATGAGACTGAACCGACCCCCATCAGTCAAAACATATATGTATGTGTTCAAACCACCTGTGTCCATATATATGTGTTCAAACTGGCCGAAACCACCTGTGTCCATATGTATGGGTTCAAACTGGCCGAAACCACCTGTGTCCATATGTATATGTTCAAACTGGCCGAAACCACCTGTGTCTATATGTATGTGTTCAAACTGGCTGAAATCGCCTGTGTCCACCATATGTATGTGTTCAAAACGTTTATTTTGCTTTTGACCAGGGTGACAGAATTAGCCTTTTAAATGGTCTGAACTGACCCCCATCGGTCAAACCATTTATTTTGCTTTTGACCAGGGTGACAGAAGAGGCCTTTTGAATGGTCTGAATCGACCCCCATCGGTCAAACCGTTTATTTTGCTTTTGACCAGGGTGACAGAATTAGCCTTTTAAATGGTCTGAACTGACCCCCATCGGTCAAACCATTTATTTTGCTTTTGACCAGGGTGACAGAAGAGACCTTTTGAATGGTCTGAATCGATCCCCATCGGTCAAACCGTTTATTTTGCTTTTGACCAGGGTAACAGAAGAGGCCTTTTAAATGGTCTGAATCGACCCAATCGGTCAAACCGTTTATTTTGATTTTGACCAGGGTGACAGATTTAGCCTTTTGAATGGTCTGAACCGACACCCATCGATCAAACTGTTTATTTTGCTTTTGACCAGGGTGACAGAAGAGGCCTTTTAAATGGTCTGAACCGACCCCCATTGGTCAAACCGTTTATTTTGCTTTTGACCAGGGTGACAGAAGAGGTCTTTTAAATGGTCTGAATCGACCTCCATCTGTCAACCCGTTTATTTTGCTTTTGACAAGGGTGACAGAAGAGGTCTTTTAAATGGTCTGAATCGACCCCCATTGGTCAAACCGTATATTTTGCTTTTGACCAGGGTGACAGAAGAGGTCTTTTAAATGGTCTGAATCGACCCCCATTGGTCAAACCGTATATTTTGCTTTTGACCAGGGTGACAGAAGAGGTCTTTAAAATGGTCTGAATAGACCCCCATCGGTCAAACCGTTTATTTTGCTTTTGACCAGGGTGACTGAAGAGGCCTTTTAAATGGTCTGAATCGACCCCCATCGGTCAAACCGTTTATTTTGCTTTTGACCAGGGTGACAGAAGAGGTCTTTAAAATGGTCTGAACCGACCCCCATCGGTCAAACCGTTTATTTTGATTTTTACCAGGGTGACAGAAGAGGGCTTTTAAATGGTCTGAATCGACCCCCATCGGTCAAACCATTTATTTTGCTTTTGACCAGGGTGACAGAAGAGGCCTTTAAAATAGTCTGAACCGACCCCCATCTGTCCAACCGTTTATTTTATTTTTGACCAGGGTGACAGAAGAGGCCTTTTAAATGGTCTGAATCAACCTCCATCGGTCAACCCGTTTATTTTGCTTTTGACCAGGGTGTCAGAAGAGGTCTTTTAAATGGTCTGAATCGACCCCCATCGGTCAAACCGTTTATTTTGCTTTTGACCAGGGTGACAGAAGAGGTCTTTAAAATGGTCTGAATCGACCCCCATCGGTCAAACCGTATATTTTGCTTTTGACCAGGGTGACTGAAGAGGCCTTTTAAATGGTCTGAATCGACCCCCATCTGTCAAACCGTTTATTTTGCTTTTGACCAGGGTGACAGAAGAGGTCTTTAAAATGGTCTGAACCGACCCCCATCGGTCAAACCATTTATTTTGCTTTTGACAAGGGTGACAGAAGAGGCCTTTGAAATAGTCTGAACCGACCCCCATCTGTCCAACCGTTTATTTTATTTTTGACCAGGGTGACAGAAGAGGCCTTTTAAATGGTCTGAATCGACCCCCATCAGCCAGCAAAAAAATCAATCATAATTTAGAAAATCTTATCCAATATTACATTATTACATTTATTACATTTATTACATTTATCCACTACCAGTTGTGACGTGATACAAAACCAGCTATTCTCTCATGTTGCCCAGAAACATGTACCTGAAAGTGTTCAGGAGTGAGCCCCTGCTGGTCAGGCCTTATTGAAGAGTCAAGTTACATGGATTATAATCTAAACATTAGTCCACTAGTCAGCTGGGGTCCTATAGGCTAACTTGTATTATATTTGACTTCATCAGTGCACTCGCTGTTCACTTACAAAAACATCAGAAGGCTGTGACTGATAAATCTTTTTCGTGCTAAAACTGGCCGAAACCGCCTGTGTCCATATGTATGGGTTCAAACTGGCCGAAACCGCCTGTGTCCATATGTATGTGTTCAAACTGGCCGAAACCACCTGTGTCCATATGTATGTGTTCAAATTGGCGAAACCACCTGTGTCCATATGTATGTGTTCAAACTGGCCGAAACTGGTCTCAAAAGACTCATTCACAGTTGCCATGTTGTTGCTATAGAAGTGAAGTTATATAATCTCAGAGATTTTGTGAGATCTTGCAGCAGCAAAACTTCTGATTCAAAGTGGATGCTAACAAGTCATGTTTCAGTGTAAAATGACAATGTTTTTCCATGACAATTGTGAATGACAATGTGATCACTGAAAAACAGGTGCACTTGTTAGGTCGAATGCTGCAGTAATTGTTTGGTTTTGATAAAACGCACTAAATTTATAAAGTTTAAAGAAGCTGAAAGTTTCACATTAATTAGGACATTGAGCAGAGTACCTGAACAGCACTTTTAGTTGATGTATTTAGAGGTAAGAATATAAGGTATATAATTTTATACAAATACACACGTTAGACTCTGCTGGTAGATTTCTTAGTACCAGCATTAGACTCTGCTGGTAGATTTCTTAGTCCCAGCGTTAGACTCTACTGGTAGATTTCTTAGTACCAACATTAGACTCTACTTGTAGATTTCGTAGTACCAGCATTAGACTCTGCTGGTAGATTTCTTAGTCCCAGCATTAGACTCTGCTGGTAGATTTCTTAGTCCCAGCATTAGACTCTACTGGTAGATTTCGTAGTACCAGCATTAGACTCTGCTGGTAGATTTCGTAGTACCAGCATTAGACTCTGCTGGTAGATTTCTTAGTACCAGCATTAGACTCTGCTGGTAGATTTCTTAGTCCCAGCATTAGACTCTACTGGTAGATTTCTTAGTACCAGCATTAGACTCTACTGGTAGATTTCGTAGTACCAGCATTAGACTCTGCTGGTAGATTTCGTAGTACCAGCATTAGACTCTGCTGGTAGATTTCTTAGTACCAGCATTAGACTCTGCTGGTAGATTTCTTAGTCCCAGCCTTAGACTCTACTGGTAGATTTCTCTGTCCCAGAGGTTTGCCATAACCTTGGTAGCCACATGCAGTAAAGTGGTAAGGTTGATATACACTTTACTAATTATGTAATCTAAAATTAACCACCACTCCATTATATTTTGAAATTAATAAAAATATGGGATTTTATGCACCTCACCTTCTGTTTCATCAGTATTTTAGACAAGTTTGTATTTCCAATGCTTTGGTTCCTAGCATCACTGAGGGTCATAAAAGGAGGAAAGAGCTTATGTTGCAGTGTAATGCATTTTGGCATACTGTACCTATAATTTATAACGGTACAATCATGTTTGTGTCACGTGCACCTATATGATACATGTATATTAATTAAATTAGAAGAAACTCAGTTAAGTTGAAATTCAAATGTAGGACCTTGATCAAAAGGTTACATGAAAAAAACCAGGAGATTCCTGAATCGTCAAAAAAACAGGAGACTACTGAATCGGCAAAAACCAGGAGACTATACTGAATCGGCAAAAAACCCAGGAGACTACTAAATCGGCAAAAAAACATAATTCAAAGTTAAAATGGATAAAAATGAGGCAAAATTTGAACCAAGGAAAACATTTCTATGGAGACCCTTGAAAAAGTACAAGGATAACATTATTAGACCAGGTGTTCCGGAAGGGTAGGGGTCTTCTGCTTCATCGATGACACCCGCCATGGAAATCAAGTGACCTCGCGTCATATCCTCACATCAATAGCTCAGGTACATGTACTGACCACAAAACCGTGAGGCACTCTAGATCTGATGAGCATAATCAAAAACATCGACCTTATATCGAAATAAGAAATAGCAACTTTCCCTGCGGTATCCTGGTGGCGACCATAGCGTGTCCATTGGAATCCCTGTGTTGTAAGTTTGTCAGTAGCAGTCGACATTTGTTACGGAAGTACTGGTGTTTGGAGCAAACTTACTTGAAATCCTTCGACAAGGATTCAAGTGGAGTAGATTAATAAATTCTCCCAACAGAAATCCATAATATGTGATGTTGGCATAGATGCCAATTCATTAACAGGCGAGCAATACAGGCCCATTGGACCTCTTGTTTAAAGGATGACAGAGTTTTATCACGTGATTGAATATATTCATAAACCTCTCCTTCTACCACACGAAAACCTTGCACACGTTACCCCACTCCCTTGTCTGTCTGTTGCTGATTCAGAAGCTTATCTCTACTAATAAATAAAAGTTTTTGTACAAAATCAGATTAAATACTTCTTGGCCCCTAGCATCACCATTGAGTATTTGAAGGAAGAAACATTTAACATTCTGTTTCTATAACCAGGATAATGTAGTGTGAATTATATTTAACATTCTGTTTCTATAACAGGTATAATATAGTGTGATTTATATTTAACATTCTGTTTCTATAACCAGTATAATGTAGTGTGATTTATATTTAACCTTCTGTTTCTATAACCAGTATAATGTGTTATTTATATGTAACCTTCTGTTTCTATAACCAGTATAATGTAGTGTGATTTATATTTAACCTTCTGTTTCTATAACCAGTATAATATATTGTGATTTATATTTAACATTCTGTTTCTATAACCGGTATAATATAGTGTGATTTATATTTAACATTCTGTTTCTATAACCGGTATAATACAGTGTGATTTATATTTAACATTCTGTTTCTATAACCAGTATAATGTGTTATTTATATGTAACCTTCTGTTTCTATAACCGGTATAATGTAGTGTGATTTATATTTAACATTCTGTTTCTATAACCAGTATAATGTGTTATTTATATGTAACCTTCTGTTTCTATAACCGGTATAATGTAGTGTGAATTATATTTAACATTCTGTCTATAACCGGTATAATGTAATGTGATTTATATTCAACAGTCTGTTGCTATAACCAGTATAATGTAGTGTGATTTATATTTTCCCTTCTGTTTCTATAACCAGTATAATATATTGTGATTTATATTTAACATTCTGTCTATAACCGGTATAATGTAATGTGATTTATATTTAACAGTCTGTTTCTATAACCAGTATAATGTAGTGTGATTTATATTTTACCTTCTGTTTCTATAACCAGTATAATATAGTGTGATTTATATTTAACATTCTGTTTCTATAACCGGTATAATGTAGTGTGATTAACCGGTATAATGTAGTGTGATTTATATTTAACATTCTGTTTCTATAACCAGTCTACAACCTCTGCTCACATTGACATCTCTGTCATGACTGCTGACATTGCATTTGATGGGGAACCATTGACAAAGCTCTCACCAACAACCCAGGACGAGATGCGCAACATTATCATGACCTCGCAATCGAAGTCCTGTGAGCTTGATCCACGGCCTACAGACCTATTAAAGCAATGTCTTGAAGCACTGCTTCCTTTGATTACGGCAATCATGAATAAATCATTGGTTGAGTCAAAGGTTCCATTATGTTTCAAGAAGGCACATGTCAGACCATTGTTAAAAAAGCCTGGAATGGACAAGGAGGAGTTGAAAAACTACCGCCCAGTTTCAAATCTGCCTTTTCTGTCTAAGATCTTGGAGAAGGTTGTGTCCCGGCGTTTAGAGGTTCATCTCCATGCAAACAGTCTCCATGACAACATGCAATCGGCCTACCGCATGGGACACTCTACTGAGACGGCCCTCCTACGTGTACATAGTGATATAGCTTCTGCATTGGATAACAAGTGCAGAGCGGTGCTTGTCATGCTGGACTTGTCAGCTGCATTTGACGTCATCGACCATGGCATACTTTATAAACGTCTGGAATACTCTTATGGAGTGACTGATACCGCACTATGCTGGATACAGTCATACCTGAGTGAACGACGACAGTGTGTTGCCATCGGATCTGCCACCTCACATGACAAAGTACTAGATTTCGGGGTTCCTCAAGGGTCGGTGTTAGGACCACGAAAATATTGTATGTACTCCAAACCGATTGGAGAGATTTGTCGTCGCCATAGCCTTCGCTATCATTGCTATGCTGATGACACACAAATTTACATGGTCATAAAACCACAGGACAGTTGGAATACAGTCTCAGAAAGTCTGGAAGCTTGTCTGACAGATATCAGTATCTGGATGAACGCCAACATGCTTAAACTTAATCAGGAAAAGACGGAACTAATCGTCTTTTCCCCAAAGTGTCAGCAAACAATGGCTCTCCAGCTCAAGGTTGGTGCCAGAACTATTGAGACTGTTCCAGCTGTTAAAAACCTAGGGGTATACTTTGACAGTTCTCTGAACATGGAGAAACAAGTGAACGCTATTGCCAAATCCTGTTACTACCAGATCAGGAACATCGGCTGTATTCGGCAGTTTCTAACTGCAGATGCATGCAAGATTTTGGTGCATTCACTTGTTACCTCTCGGTTGGATTATGGTAACGCCCTGCTCTGTGGTATATCTGACAAACTAACTAGTCGTCTGCAGAGGGTTCAGAACACTGCAGCACGGCTAGTTACTCGTACTCGAAAGAGAGAGCACATCACACCTGCGCTTTATTCGTTGCACTGGTTACCTGTACGATACAGGTCGCAGTACAAAATTCTGGTATACACATACAAGGCACTGAATGGAACAGCTCCTCAGTACCTACAGGAACTTGTTACCCTGTATCAGCCGTCAAGATCACTGCGGTCGGAGTCAGAATCTTTGTTGTGTGTCCCAAAATCTCGTACTGTGACCTACGGAAACAGATGCTTTGGGAGGGTTTCGGCTACGTTGTGGAATAGCTTACCATCTGCTATTAGGAAGTCGAATACCCTGGCCAAGTTCAAGAGGAACAAAAAAACCTCACCTCTTCACGTCTGCATTTTAGAATCTTTGCAAAGACGTCATGTAAATACCACCCTTTTATTTGTTCAATTATGTGCACATTGCTTGTTAAATGTATGAAATTGATTGCAAGCCTTTGTTGTTTGTTTTCACAATTATAACCATTACTATTATCCATATGTTGTAAAGCGCCTTAGAGTAATTTTACAAATTATATAGGGCGCTATATAAATGCTGTATATTATTAAATGCTGTATATTAATATAATGTAGTGTAATTTATATTTAAACTTTTGTTTATATAACCGGTATAATGTAGTGTGATTTATATTTAACATTCTGCTTCTATAACCAGTAAAATGTAGTGTAATTTATATTTAACCTTCTGTTTCTATAACCGGTATAATGTAGTGTGATTTATATTTAACCTTCTGTTTCTATAACCGGTACAATGTAGTGTAATTTATATTTAACATTCTGTTTCTATAACCAGTATAATGTAGTGTGATTTATATTTAACCTTCTGTTTCTATAACCGGTGTAATGTAGTGTGATTTATATTTAACATTCTGTTTCTATAACCAGTATAATGTAGTGTGATTTATATTTAACATTCTGTTTTTATAACCAGTATAATGTAGTTTGATTTATATTTAATATTCTGTTTCTATGACCGGTATAATGTAGTGTAATTTATATTTAACATTCTGTTTCTATAACCGGTATAATGTAGTGTGATTTATATTCAACATTCTGTTTCTATAACCGGTATAATGTAGTTTGATTTATATTTAACATTCTGTATCTATACCCCATCTCTTAGGTGCAATCACATATGATCAATTAATGTTGAATAATTATCCATCACCCTTTACAACTTAAGTTTGCATTGAGATGCAGGTGTAAAGACGATATTTTTCATTAAATAAGAATATCTTAAACTTGTGATCTCGGTTGCTGTTTATCAACAACTTTTTATTTAACTTCATAATGACAATCAGCCTCCCTGCGAGGATGGGATAACCTGTCGCAGATGTAAGTAGACATGACTCCTGGTGACTAACTACATATCGGGGGTTTCTATTGCATTTCCATCTTAGTTAGGTTAATAGGTTTATAAAAACATAAAGATAGAGTCTTTGTCTCATTAGGAATCGGACGTTTAATAAAAACATTTGCATAAAAACTACGTTAGATACATACCGCTTGTCATGGATTGAACACAACACAAACGATACCATTATAGGTCATAGCTATAGCCACAGAGCACAAACGATACCATTATAGGTCATAGCTATACCCACAGAGCACAAACGATACCATTATAGGTCATAGCTATACCCACAGAGCACAAACGATACCATTATAGGTCATAGATATAGCAACAGAACAAAAACGATACCATTATAGGTCATAGCTATAGCCAAGGAGCACACACGATACCATTATAGGTCATAGCTATAGCCACAGAGCGCAAACGATACCATTATAGGTCATAGCTATAGCCGCAGAGCACAAACGATACCATTATAGGTCATAGCTATAGCCAAGGAGCACACACGATACCATTATAGGTCATAGCTATAGCCACAGAGCGCAAACGATACCATTATAGGTCATAGCTATAGCCGCAGAGCACAAACGATACCATTATAGGTCATAGCTATAGCCTCAGAGCACAAACGATACCATTATAGGTCATAGCTATAGCCAAGGAGCACACACGATACCATTATAGGTCATAGCTATAGCCACAGAGCGCAAACGATACCATTATAGGTCATAGCTATAGCCCCAGAGCACAAACGATACCATTATAGGTCATAGTTATAGCCACAGAGCACAAACGATACCATTATAGGTCATAGATATAGCAACAGAACAAAAACGATACCATTATAGGTCATAGCTATAGCCACAGAGCGCAAACGATACCATTATAGGTCATAGCTATAGCCACAGAGCGCAAACGATACCATTATAGGTCATAGCTATAGCCACAGAGCACAATCAATCCCATTATAGGTCATTGCTATAGCCACAGAGCACAAACGATACCATTATTGGTCATAGCTATAGCAACAGAGCACAAACGATACCATTATAGGTCATAGATATAGCCACAGAGCACAAACGATACCACTATAGGTCATAGCTATAGCCACAGAGCACAAACGATACCATATAGGTCATAGCTATAGCCACAGAGCACAAACGATACCATTATAGGTCATAGTCACAGAACGCAAACAAGGGCTTTGATGTTAAGATGAAAGTCTGTGATGAGAAATACAATAACAGCAGTTAAGTACCTGTATTGGGTTATTGTCCTTGATATATATTGCACTACAGGATATTTGCATGTACATTTTTTTGTACATCATCATTTAAAATTGGTCTATTTGTCAATTGTTTTCGGCGTTGAAAAATGACTCCAGATTTAGAAAAGGTCCAGGAAACGAGCCATAGATTGAAGTAATATATTGTACAATATCATTCATGCATTTCTTGGGTTGGAAAACATGTTTTCGTCATAACTGATCCACTTCTTTGCACCTGAAATTAAAATAAAACAGTTAATGTATCTGCCATATTTGTCGTAGCAAGGGTAACAAGGGCGTATTGTTTAATTTCAACGGGGTCCATTTTCAACGGGAATGCAAAACTTAATTTGAGTTGGGTTCCTTTTTCCAAGACTCCCCAGTGCCATTTTAACGTTGACAACTGATCCCCGTTCTGTTTTCCGCAGAGGTCCATTTTCAGCGCTATACCTTCTTTCATAATGGCGCACCGTGGCTCCAAATCTTACCCTAAATTTGTATTTATATAAATTGTATATATATATTGCTACCTCACTTATCATAAATTGGCGCCCGGCGCCTTTATTACGATATACGTGTTACCTGAGAATTGACGTTTTGTAGATAAATGAAATTGGCTTGAAAGATTATTGATAATCAAGTGAAACACATTAATTAATTGACAGGCAAGATCAATTCAGAAAATCTCAGGGTGGAACTCATAAGACCGAATATGAAGGTAGGTGGTGAAATATTTAAAACAATGTAAACTACGAGGGCTGTTTATTATGTCTCATCATTTACCTTCATGAATCAACATATAATTCTTTACGTCCTTTACCTAAACAAGAGACCAAGAGGGCCGTTTCGCTTACCTGGATATCTAGGCAATCATGGCAAAATATTCTCCAAATAAGATCTCGGTGATATGGCCAGACTCCAAGGCCAATCCTTGTAGCATATCTGTATTCGATTGTTCTTGCACAGCAATTGTACGTATGGTTATTGGGTAGGGGTTTAACTGTTTCCTAATTGCGACTCAGAAACTAGGGTTGTGGTCAGACCCCAAGGTCAATTCTAATATAATGGTTGCATTCGTCTCTTTATGTCCAGCATTAATTGTACATACAGTTTTGGGGTGGGAATCTCAACCGTTTCAAAGTTATGACTAAGGGGTTAAATCTGAAGGGCGGGGAAGAGCCAAGGGTCAATGCTTATATCATGACTGTTCATCTCTTGATGCCAAACAGTTTTATATTTAATTTTGGGATGGGAATCTCAACCGTTTTAAAGTTATGACCCAGGGACTAAGTCTCCAATGGTAGGCCTGACTTAGAGCCATACTGGAAGCATATGTGCATGCATTCATCGCTTATATACTAAGCAATTGTATAGATGGTTATAGGATGGGGATCTCGATCATTTCCACGTTATAAACTATATTTGACTCCACCCCTTAGTCCGGGGAGTCGGCCTTTTTGTCCATTTGTATAAGTGTTAATCCCGGGACCACCTAGGGATGCTACCAGTCAAATATGGTTGATATCCGTTGCTTAGTTCTAGAGAAGAAGTTGCTTAAAGCAAAAACGTCAAATGACCTTTTTTGGCTTCGCCCCTTAGCCCCCTGGGGGTCAACCCTACATTTTTTACAGTTTTGAATCGCTACCACATAGGGATGCTTCTAGTCAAATAAGTTCACCTTGGTCCTTCGAACTCAGTGAGCTAATACTATGACTAGTTGTTAAATATCAACTTGTGTCTAGCTCCTAACACTACTTGAAACACGATGAAAGTTTGTAGAGATTCTTGTTTTTCAATTAAAACTTTCTAATATACATAGAATTACGGTTGGTAATACTTAATACTTACTCCATTTTGAACCGATAATGACTGGGCAATCAGCATGAAGTAGCCTGTCGTCGACATTCCCAAACGAGTCCATGTTGAACCAGAACAATGCAGACCCCTGTATTTGAGTAAAGCAAGTGTTTACTGACCTAGCGTATTAACTTGGAATGTTCTTGTTTTATAACATAGTTTTTATAACTTGCATGTCATTAACAAATTGCTATTAGTTAATAAAGACAATGTTTAAAGACACATGATCTACAGTATATCTTTCGGAATTTATCAATTATTTTACCATAACTAGAACTCAAAAGATGGGGTTCTTAATCTGCCGACGCGTGGAGTTTATTCAAACTTTGCAATTTAAATGTTCACTTCAGAAACTGATATTATTATTTTAAAGTTTGTAAAGAAAAGACAAAAAGGGCATGTATTCGTGTTTTCCCTGAAAACTATAGGGGGTACACCAATATTTGATGTCATTAGTACGCACAATCAGGATTGATTTTTGTAGATGTTTCAAATTATGATTGTGAAGACACTAAGCATTCAATTAGTATGTACTTTATATGTTTTAAGTCAGTTATATAAAAATCAACAGGCCTACCATGACCACACTCCGTTAAAAATATCCACCAAAAAATCACACTTTAATAACATTTAAATATATTTTTTATAGGTTTTCTTCGATGTTTCATCTTCATAAGTCTTTGAAAATAGTTTTAGGGTATTGTTTACATTAGTGATTTTTTATTTAAATTGAGAACCGGGAACATAGTCTACCAGCCTATCTTATATATCTACTCCACTAACACAGACTGACTGGAAATGGACCTAGATGACATCCTTGGAGACAGCCACCTTTTGATGCCATGCTGTATATACCAGAGTATATTTATATATATATATATATATATATATTTCACAATTGTATTTTTACATATACAAAAAACACTTTCTCTCGCATCCACACGTTTAAAACAACACTTTCATCATCCTTCACCTGATTTCATCATCATCAATTTATTGTCATTATCATCATCATCATCATCATCATCATCATCATCATCATCATCATCATCATCATTATAATCATCACATTCTCATCAGATGAACGCAAGTAATTACATCGTTTAATGACCTACCCCAGTAGTAACCCACCACTCCAGTATATACAATAATCTTGCTGTCTGATTGCCTTGCAAGCTATCCCTTGCTTATTTCATATTTTTATTCTTTATTGTCTTATGCCTACACTCTCCTTTCATCTTCATTAAGTTGTTTTTACATTGTCTTACACTAGTCTCTTATACTATACTACTATATAATTCTTTCAGTTTAAAACCTGTATACAGAATGTCTGGAACTTGTTCCGCAAGCAGTAGGATATATAGCGAAACATTTTACTTCCTCAGGTGACTGAGATTTGGGTGCATCAGCATTCAACTGGTTTGCTCAGGGATTAGATTCATTCTAGACATAAATCACAAACAAAATATAATTCAGTATGATGTTGCAGATTCCACAGATCCTATCAAAGACTATTACTGTACCTGCCCCACTGGTAAGCGAACTGAAAAATGTGTACACATACTGCTTATATATTATACTTTTTTGGATTTTTTTTAAAGCAAACTTCATCAGAATTATCTTGTAAATGTGTGTCTATTTTTAAGAAGTCAGTTGTTTGCTGATATGGGGTATCGTCTGCCCAGTTGGGAGAGAGTCCAACTAGTATGTTGAAGGTCTTTGCTGTCCTAGTCTAGCTAGTGCGCTGTTATATAATCGATAGAGGATGATGACAGTAAAACATTTTGGTTGTAAAATGTGCATCTGTGACCTAGATTTAGATAAATGCACGCTTGTGTAGCAGAGATTAAACACCATGGAAAAATGGGAAAAACCTTTTCCCGGTGTTTAATTTCAATAATCTTTTGATATGTGATAGTAAGATAATAAAAAATAAATGATAAAATATTTTAATGAGACACTCTGAGGAACTTTGAAAATTTGTTGTTTGAAATAACATACATCATCAATTTCAACAGAAAAATGTTGAAAATTTGGTCAGTTTTTGTTCACTGTCAACTTAACTACATGTATCTTACAGACATATTCAAATTTGGTATCATTTTAACTGCTAACATGTCTGTTATCAATGTAAGCATTTTTTTATGGGATAAAATACAGTAACAAAAATGTTATGTATCTTCAATAGAGGGTAACATGCATTCATTTGACAAAATGCAGGTCAGGCCCTGTGGGACTTTTCTTATTTCATGATTTTGAATAAAACTTCTAGTTTCACGACAATCCGTGCTTGGGCAGGGTCTATGGGAATTTTAACATCGTCAAAAACCCCATCTTTTCTTTTTTTATTTCACGGTTTTAAAAATTCGGACGGAATGAGACCAGACTTGGACATAGACAATGCCTGTTGGAGATTATAGGGTCATACAACCTCAGTCTATATTTCATTCTCAATTTTTGTTTGATGAAGCTCTTAGTTTAATTTTGGGAATAAACTCACTCTATTGATAACAATTTGAAAACAATCATCACTTAAATTTGATTTTGGTTTTATTGAAATGTAAGAAGTCAATATCAATGACTGATAATATCTAATTTTAAGATTAATGAACTCAAGAACAATCTTTACAAATTGCATTGAATTATCCGCTTTTATGTGTTCTGCATGAGTTTAGTTATGAAGTCGCCTTAACATCAATGTTGATATTGTCTTGGTAAATGAAACTACTGCCATACGACGGAAAGATATATAATATTCAACGGAAACGTCTTAAAATTATTTTTCTATTTATTACATTTTCATTTTTTGTAACGCCAATTTTTTTTTTAACGACAAAAACGACAATTTTTTTTTAACAACACAAGGGATCAGGAGCGAAATGTTAAGCGTCTTATTGTAACGACATCATGCATGTTGGAGGACAAGGCTGCGTGCCATTTTGAAAGCGAAATAGCCATAAAAACTTAAAACTCTTGTAATTCAAAATGACCGCCATGTGGATATCTTGTTCTTCCAATGATTTTCAAAATGAAACATGCACAATATATTTTAGTTGAAACCATTGCATTTTTTAATTATCAGTTACTTTAAACGGCATCCTGTATACATGTGTCCATCTTTCTTCATCAAAATCATAATGTATTTGCCACTTTTACTTGCCTGTTGCTAGTGTTTTATATTTGACATACCTTTGTCACTGGTACTCTGACTCGAAGCTTGGGAAAAACAGTGGCCCCTCCTTCTTCAACAGAACTAAGCTGAAACACGAAGTATGTCTGTTATTTTCTGTTTTATGTAGTACAAGTTAGTGACTCAAACGTACATGGAGTTTGACTTTACATGACTCTACCCTGTTAGTAATGTTAATATTCATTGTTCCCTGTTATTAATGTTAATGTTCATTGTTCCCTGTTATTAATGTTAATGTTCATTGTTCCCTGTTATAAATGTTAATGTTCATTGTTCCCTTTTATTAATGTAATGTTCATTGTTCCCTGTTGTTAATGTTCATTGTTCCCTGTTGTTAATGTTCATTGTTCATTGTTCTCTGTAATTAATGTTAATGTTCATTTTTCCCTGTTATTAATGTTAATGTTCATTGTTCCCTGTTATTAGTGTTCATTGTTCCCTGTTGTTAATGTTCATTGTTCATTGTTCCCTGTAATTAATGTTAATGTTCATTGTTCCCTATTATTAATGTTAATGTTAATGTTGGATGTGAGAAATGTATTATATTGTTATATCACATAGAAGATAAGATAACAGGTCGTATATACATGGATTATGATAACTACATATATATCACATAGAAGATCAGATAATAGGTCGTATATACATGGATTATGATAACTATATATATCACATAGAAGATAAGATAATAGGTCGTATAAACATGGATTATGATAACTATATATAGCACAAAGAAGATCAGATAATAGGTCGTATATACATGGATTATGATAACTATATATAGCTCATTGAAGATCAGATAACAGGTCGTATATACATGGATTATGATAACTATATATATCACATAGAAGATAAGATAATAGGGCGTATAAACATGGATTATGATAACTATATATGACATAGAAGATCAGATAACAAGTCGTACATACATGGATTATGATAACTATATCTATGACATAGAAGATCAGATAACAAGTCGTACATACATGGATTATGATAACTATATATATGAGATAGAAGATCAGATAACAGGTCGAATATACATGACTTATGATAACTATATATATCACATAGAAGCTCAGATAACAGGTCGTATATACATGGAGTATGATAACTATATATATCACATAGAAGATAAGATAACAGGTCGTATATACATGGATTCTGATAACTATATATAGCTCATTGAAGATCAGATAACAGGTCGCATATACATGGATTATGATAACTATATCTATGACATAGAAGATCAGATAACAAGTCGTACATACATGGATTATGATAACTATATATATATAGCACATAGAAGATCAGATAACAGGTCGTATATGCATGGATTATGATAACTATATATATATCACATAGAAGATCAGATAACAGGATATATAGCTCATTGAAGATCAGATAACAGGTCGTATATGCATGGATTATGATAACTATATATATTACATAGGAGATCAGATAACAGGTCGCATATACATGGATTATGATAACTACATATATATCACATAGAAGATCAGATAATAGGTCGTATATACATGGCTTATGATAACTATATATATATCACATAGAAGATCAAATAATAGGTCGTATATACATGGATTATGATGACTTTATATATCATATAGAAGATCAGATAACAGGTCGTATATACATGGATTATGATAACTATATATATCATATAGAAGATCAGATAACAGGTCGCATATACATGGATTATGATAACTATATATATGACATAGAAGTTCAGATAACAGGTCGTATATACATGGATTGTGATAACTATATATATGACATAGAAGATCAGATAACAGGTCATATATACATGGATTATGATAACTATATATATTACATAGGAGATCAGATAACAGGTCGCATATACATGGATTATGATAACTATATATATGACATAGAAGTTCAGATAACAGGTCGTATATACATGGATTCTGATAACTATATATATGACATAAAAAATCAGATAACAGGTCGTATATACATGGATTGTGATAACTATATATATGACATAGAAGATCAGATAACAGGTCGTATATGCATGGATTATGATAACTATATATATGACATAGAAGATAAGATAACAGGTCGTATATACATGGATTATTATAACTATATATAGCACAAAGAAGATCAGATAATAGGTCGTATATACATGGATTATGATTACTATATATAGCACAAAAAAGATCAAATAATAGGTCGTATATACATGGATTATGATGACTATATATATCATATAGAAGATCAGATAACAGGTCGTATATACATGGATTATGATAACTATATATAT